TGGAGTGTTTGTGCGACAGAGAAAACAAAGAAAGACAAGAAATTACATTACCTGAAATCGAAATCAGAAAGTCAAAGGAATAAACATAATCCGCACCGTCAACAAAAATTAAACAAGAGGGAAGCCACAACGTGAACAAACAAACCAAAGAACAACAATATGACTTACAATTACGGAAGAACAATTGGAAAGCGCAGAGATGGTATTCCGGATGAAATGATCATGGTGGCCTTGTAGGAATCCGCTGCACACAGAGATAAGGTGTTGAAGATCGGAACGTGTCAGTTAGATTTTTTCATTCGACCGCCTCAATCGACGGACTAAATCGAGCACCTCAAACTTATGACATATTTGTGGGCAGTTGGCAGTGTTGTTGCCCAAATGAGAGGGAAGAAAACGGAAGAATTCCGTTAGCTGAGGCTTGCGCAAATATGAAGACCTCCGTTGGACTGTAGTCACGTAAAAATGACCAAACTAACTGCCTTACACAATTTATATATAAGCTGATATATATGAGGACAATTGTCCTTCTATGTATAAAGAGATGAGATCTTTTATATGACATCTTGTGTCCCATGATATCGTTTCTTGAAGATTGACATATGTTCTTACCATTACACATATGTATAGTTCTTTTAATTGAGAGAAATGATCTAATTAGGCTATGTTTTGCGGGCATAAGTTCCTGTCTTCTAGCTTTTGTACTATTTAAAAAGTCTTTAAAAGCTTCTAGTTGTATGTTTGCCGCGCCAAATTTTAAGAACTTTTATAAAAATAAAAGATCTTTTTTGAGATGCTACAGTGAGTAGCATCTCAGATACGTCCGTAGCTTATAGCATTAATTACTCCTAACAACTTGTATACCAAACAGAGCTAAATCAAACAGTCGATTTTTTACCAAACAGTTACAACCTTTTCTTTTTAAGATCTTTTCAGTCACTAAAAGTTAACAGTTACTAAAAAGCTCATAAAAATATCTTTTCAACTAGTTGTGCCAAACATACCCTAAGCTTGTTTAAGGGCTTTTCGGGTTGAATTTTTTGATAAATTTTAATGAGAATGTTATAGGACATGACAAATATTAGTTTAAAGTTCAATCGAGAAGACAATTAGTTCATGCAATTTTGAACGAGATTTTCACTATGGGTCATCCGGAAACAGTCTCTCTGTGCTTTAGTACAGGAGTAAGACAACGTATACATCCGACCCCCTTACCCCACCGTAGGTGGGAGCCTTTGCGGTACTGGGGTAAATGAAAATGAAATGAAAATGATGATGGATAAAATGACTCTTTATACATACGCTTGACCATACCTTTATTACTCTTTAAGTGAGGTCCTTGACCAATTACATATTTTTTGTCCATGTAACTTCTTTAGCAGACCCTATGTCCCTATGTGATAAAAACATATACGGAGTCAGAATCATTGCATTAAATGCGCTTCCCGCCAATATTTTGGTTTCCCGCCATGGACCCTGGACGAGCGTCCCTTGATCTGAGCTCCTGGATGTGGAGGCCCAAGGTTTGAGCTCCGTGCGGCTCATGCCAGCTCTCTGGCCGAGGGCCCTGGAATGTTATCTGGCACTCGTTGGGAAAAGACCAACGAGGTCGAGCGTCTTGACGACATCCTGGTGGATCATGGCCAAGTTGGGCCTAGAATCCTGCAAGGAAGAGGATCCGTACGGGTGGTGGCCGAGGATCTCGGAATATCATTTGGTCCTTGTTGGGCCCTGGACTCCTTGGACGAGCGCTGTCTTCCCCGTGGTCCAATCCGACGAGCGTCTGTCATGTCCCACTGCTGGACCATATCCCTTATGGGCCCTGATGGTCCCCATGTTTAGTGGGTAATGGGCCGACCTGCTATTGGGTCTATTAACCCAACAAACTTTATCAAAAAATTTCACCGGGAAAGTCCTCTGACGGCGTTGTCTGCGTGGGGGTTCGATTAGGACGTACGTCCTGACAGGAACGGAACTCTCTATATATATATTTATATAACTATAAAAATTTTGAGTGATGGCTTACAATAATTTTGTGAATCATTGAGAATTTTAATAATTTTCTAAATGAGAATGTCAATATTTTTTTGACATGACAATAATATTTGTTAACGATAATTTTATGAGAAACTATTTGTGTGTCACAAAAAGCCTTATATATGGACCAGTCGAGCCTAACACTACAACTCTCTTCCTAGTTAACATTGACAATATATGTTGTAGTATCCCACAAACAAAGTGAGAGTTATACACTACCCCATATAAGTGATTCATATTTCAAAAAATGTTATAAAAATAGTGGACAATATCGAAAAGATATTCGTCATTTGTTTTTGAACATTTATTTACTCCCTCCGTCCCATATTTATCTTCATAGTTACTATTCACATGGTCAACTCAAATTACTCTTAATCCTTTATTTTATATATCAAAATTTTATCAAACTTAAATTTTCTTGATCAGACTTTGTAGCGGATTTAATGTAGTTTCTGAATATGTAAATTTAATTTACTAAAAATAATCTGAGTATGAACAAGGATCAAGTTACTTTATCGTCAGTCAAGTATCGTAAACCGAACTACGAAGATAAATATGAGACGAAAGGAGTATTGAATTATACGGAGTATACTTGTAACATTTTCCATTTATAGATCACTAATGCCATCGGTATTTGAACCAATACTGTACTAGTTTACTATACTATCAATGGTGGGTCAAGTAAGTTAATTATGATGTGTTGAGAGTGTTGTATATCAGCATCTCGGAAAATCTAGAGATGTTTAAAAAGAAATTGAGTTTTTATTATAGTTGAGTGAACTTTATTATTGCAACTTGTTACAAGTATAGTAGTTTCACGATCTCAACAAGTTATATTAGAGCCTAGCTAGTCAGTCACAAGATTAAAAATCGAACAAAGTATGAAAATATGAGTTTTAAATGCCTCTTACTAGTTATGTGTAAGAATGGAAAATATATAATCACATTGAAATGTACCATCATTTTCTTGCAAACTTGTCTCACAACATATATCAATGAAATTAAAATATGGGATGACTGCACTCATATTTGGAAGAAAAAAGACTTTGCACAAATTTTTAAAAAAGGTAATTAATTTGTAGATTGTATGAGCCTATTTTCAACTTATCAATCAACTTTTTTTTTATCACATTGAATTTTGAAATAATCAAAATAAATAAGATTGAAATTACATTTATGATAGAATTGATCGAAGTTACTATAGATGACAATGTAAGCTATTTTGCATATAATTTTTATTTTATTTTATTAAAATATTTAATTATAATATTGGAAAATGACATTTATAATACTAACAGAGTTTCACCAGATAAAAATATGACTAGTTATATTTTTGGCAAAAAATATGACTAGTCACTGTGTACGAGTAACCAGACAAGAGTTATATTTCAGAATAAAAAGTCACTAAGAAGTGACGAGTCACTGAGAACTAATCACTAAATATGTCATTTTTTTTTGTAAAATTTTAAGATAGTCGTATTTTTGTCTTTTGAATTTAATTTAGTAATATTTATGGAAAAACTTATTACGGAGTATATTTTTACAATTCAGCAGATTAAGACAAATCGACTGGTTCATTCAGAACATTAAAAGAATTAGGCCCTGTTTTGTATTTTGCCGGGTTGAGAACCTAAACGCTGCTTTTAGCCACGTTTTATATTGTAAACATGGCGTTTAGGGAGTAAAACGCCGGTAGCCAATCATTGCCTTAATGTTTACACCCTATATTTTTCACAAAGGGGGTGTTTAGTAAATGGTGTTTCGACAAAAAAATGACGGTTTGATCACTTTTAGCGTTTTCAATCAATGAAAACGTTGTTTGGTAAATCGCTGCTCGGCACTAGCGTTTTTGGTCGAAACTGCTAAAATGAAAACACTACAAATAAGAGATTTTCAGGTTAGCGTTTTGAAATATGACGTTTCTACTAATTTTATGATCAAACAACTAAATTACTAAACATTTTCTGATAACCCAACAACTTATTCCAATAATCAAATCCGCTAATGGAATCCGTTATTACAACTCGCTATCATAATCCACTATTTTAAATTGATAAGGTACAATCATTTATAACCAACCATTCTAGCTCACTGGGTGGAAGGTTACCGTGTCCTAGCGGAGGTCTCGGGTTCGAATCCCGCTAGGCACATTTAGGGGAGATGAGAGAGATCTTGCTCCCAATGATTCTTCCTACCTTCACGGAGTTGCTCAGCGGCTGAGAAGGGAGAGGAGGATAATGAAGGTAGCAGGTTCGTGTGGTGAGAGCAGCAACCTGTTGCTCCCAATGATTCTTTCTACCTTCACGGAGTTGCTCAGCGGCTGAGAAGGGAGAGGAGGATCATGAAGGTAGCAGGTTCGTGTGGTGAGAGCAGCAGGGATAGGAGTGTAAGCCCGACAATTGGATTATCAAAAAAGTATGAACCTTTAATCCGTATGTAACAAATGTTGCAATTTATTGTTTACCTGTACAATTGTACCTGTCGTCGAGTACAATTCGTTCCCCTAGAAGAACGCAAGAAAACCACCCCATACATGATTCCTGTGTCGACCTCTTTCCAGCTAATCATTGAGACAGAAAATATCTGGTGACATGCCATCTGCCTACTGCATTTCAGTTACATCTTTTCTGGTTCTGAAGAGTGGACGGAGGAGAACTCACGCTTAATTTCCTAGCGCGCGCAGAGAGGGAATGCGGTGAAAAAGATGATGCTCTTCAATGGCTTGATTCAGCGGAGGCTTTCTACTCTCTTACGGCCATGGCTGGTGGACGAACCGGAGCTCGAAGTAAAGCTAGGGTTTCTTCGTTCCCACGCAATCGCCAAAAATCTCTGTTTCAACACTGCTGCTCTGAACCACTTGCTAGAAGATACTTCTGGCGTGTTCTTCAAGGAAGTAGTCATTGATCAGTTTGGCTGTTATGTATCCAACTGGTCAGCCCCTGCCTTCAAATTCGAAATACACGGCCTTCACATTACTCTAGCACTGGGGTACTCTCTCTCTCTCTCTCTCTCTCTCTCAGTTACTCATTGCAGATTGTATGTGCATTTGGTGATTATATTGTGTTTTCACATTGAAGTGAAAAGGAGGGAAGTTCAGGACGCGCTCCAAAACCAAAAGACACGTATATTGATCAGAAAATGAAGCTCCTAGTGGAGCTCGATCCACAGGTACACTGCAGTCATCTATGCTTATCAATTCTGAATGGTTTTTAGAGGTATATATGCGTTTGACTCGGCACTTATGACTAATTTATGTTTCTAAGTTCTTATTTTAATCAAACAACAACAACATCATCCAAGCCTTAGTCCCAAAAGTTTTTATTTTTATAATTCATTTTTTTACATGGTGAGGCCAACTATATTTTATGAGAGTTTTATAAATTTCAGGGTAGTTCTTTGCATGCTCTGATGAAAAGGATAGCAGAAATTACAGCTCTAAGATGGACAACTTCTCTGTTTGATCACATATTACAACATTGCCAGTTTCAATTGCATGACGTTCAACTGACTTTGCAGTCATCTCTTCCTAATGATTTTGTTTCCTTCTCTTTTCAAATGAAGAAACTTGGCGTGGGGTGCCAATCTGTTGGGTTTTGTTTCATCAGTGGGGTCATCAGTTCATTTTTTTTGCCCTCTAGAGAAAGCTACTTTGATATTGACGTTCAAAATTTCGAGACTATATTGAAGACCGAGTATCACATAAGCAATATTGTTCCGTCAACGAATCTACACGCCTCAGTTAAATCAAAAAGTCTTATTTGTCTAGACTTCTATTGTAATGTTGAAGCACTGAAACTTTACCTATCTCCGTTTCATGTTTCCACTATACTTCTACTTTTTGTTTTGTCATCGAAAGAGGCCAAGTGTGTTAGAAGTGGTAGGCAACTGTGGAAAATAGCAGCAGAGAAAATTAGGTCCTTAACTTCAATGCACAAGTTTTTATTACATAAGTTTGTTTACATAATATGTATCTGGGTTCAATATATACACACCTATGAGAAAATGCTATTATTGGTTGGGTACCCATCAGAAGATGCAATAAGAAGATCAGCTGAGTTTATGATTAGGGGTAAAGCATACTCCATAGCTGTTAAGCAGCATTGGAAGAAAATTTGCCAAATTGAGGAAGACCTGCCCAGTGAGGCCATTACACTGGCAAGACAAATAATACGCAACAGAGCTGCTTCAGGTGCCCAAAGGAGAAAACAATTATTCCATCAGTCAAAAGTGGGGTCATTTTCCTTGGTTTGCAAACCACTCCTCTTAGTTGGGAAGTACATTTGTAGCAATTTTCACTTCATTAAAGGTCTTTTCTTTCAAAATACCGCTGGTAAATGTTCAAATTCCAATGAAAAACTTGGACACGTTCCAGATAGCTCTTTTCTATGTCGCTACATTGGCCTAGACGTGGGTGAATTTTTAATTTCCATGTCCCCAGAAGATGAAGTTCACCCTTGTGTTAGTGAGAAGATGCTCTCTGATATTGGGTTCGCATACCATGAGTTACTTTCATTTTCTCTTTCTATTGATGTACTCTGCTTTAGATATTCTGAAAATACTACGCAACAATGTTTTTCTGTTGGCTGTCAATCCTTGAATGTGGTTCCTTTATCTCTCATGGAAAGCAGTTATAGAAATTCTGCCAAATATTTGAACGGATCTCAGAAAACGAAGGCTCATAACTTGTCCCCTATTTTATGGAGCGAGCCTGCAGCAATTGTACACCCTGTGGAAATTGATGGCTATCATGCTAATAAGACTGGTGTCCCGTGTCTTTCTTTTATAGACTTTATGATAGGAGAAATGCTCTTGAAGTGGAGAAAATGTTGTTCAAAAGATGGAGCTAATGAAATCCAGGATTTTGAAAACCCATTCATTCTTTGTGAGACAAAGAGTTTTTTGATTGATCAAAGCCAGAAGAATATTATAGCTGGGTCTTTAAGTTGTGGTATGGTGGTTGGACGGTTGAACTTAGTTATTGAACATGCATCTGTTGTATCTATTAGTGTAATTTCTACACAGATTAAGAGTGCCCTTTCATGGACTCAGTGTAACATGAAAAAAGATGATGCGTTGCATGCTTCAGCATCCCTAAGTGACCAACCCTTTATAGACTGGAGTAGCAAATACAATTCACTTTCAAACGGAATGGCAATAGCAGCTAATAAGTTACTTCCGCAAAAGCATATTCGAATGGGAATAAGAGTTGCTGGGCCACACATTCAGATTTCTTTGAAAAAGGTGGAGCTTCATGGCAAGATAACAGATCAACATCATTCAACGAGGAACAATATGGCCCACCTTCGAATTGAAGCTGACAATGTGGAACTTGCGGTTTTACCGAATCTGGAATCTGATTTCAATTTCTCAAGTGAATCCATGACAGTTGCTGATGCAAAAGCAAAGATCACTACCCTTCATCAGGGTGACATTCCCAAGTTAAATGGTGAAACATTTAGCTCCCAAGGATGTATCTCAATCGACGCGCACCTAAAATTTGATGGGGTGAAAGTTTATCTTGATGTAACAGATGATCCACATCGCCCTGTTATTCTGCTAACTCCTGTTACATTCAGGCTATTATCTTCAAGGTACTAATTCCGCTATTTTTGACCACGTATTTTTATCAGCGTGTCTTCTGTTATGAATATTTTTCACTTCATGATGCAAAAAATCAGTTAATCTGCAATATCCTAATTTAAATAAGATAAGGTTGGTTGACAAGCAATCAAGCTGTTACGGATGCATTTTATGGATCTAGCAGGAGGTTTAATTAGAACAGTTTAATTAGAAGAGGGAAATTATCCTGATGCTATTTTTATATTTTATTTATTACTTCCTATTAGGAATAGAAGTATTAGAGGTTACAATTTCTATTAGATTAGAAGTCCTATTAGTAATAGAAGTATTTAGAGGTTACAGTTTTAGTTAGACTAGAACTCTATCATGTAAAGGCAGGATGCCTATTTATATTCCTTTTTCAGCCTTAATAAAATCATCGATCATTAGAAGAATTAATCCCCGGAGAGAAGTCACGGACTTCCCCCTTCCCCCTGCGCTCTTACTGCGCTCTTCCAGCCACGGGCAAGAAGAGGAGTAACCCTAGCAGGCAGGTTATCACCTCAACCGGGTACCCTGCTACCCCAAGTCGTCCCTGGACCCGTTCTCAGTCCCAGAACCATAACACAAGCATAATGGATCTCCTCAGTAACAGGCTTACATTTTTGTCCTCTAGCAATGTGTATTAATATTTGAATAATTATGAATATTTAGGAAGTGTAATAAATCCTGTGTTCAGTCCTTATAATCATGATATCAGTTATAGACTTAATCATAATTCATCCATCCTGTTTTATGTGTTTGGTTGGAGTTATTTGCAATTCAAATTTTATTGTATTCAATTAAATTAGTGTTAGTTATTAGAGGTTATATATGTCGGAACTACATGTAGATTTCTGTTTTACAGAAAAATACTAAAGTAGGAAACTATAAGAAAACATTGATGAAAATAAGTAAACATTGAAGCGTTAGTTTGGTTGATGAGCACTAACACGGAAAAATAAAATAAGACTACTAATATGTTATTAAGGTGGGAACTTGCCAGTGCCATGGGGTTGTAGACTTATAATTCTACATTGATGCTCAAATAGTGAGTGCTTAGACATGATCTATTAAAGCACAAATGTGATGAAATAGTTTTTCCTTTACCGGCGCTTAGTATAATGTCCATACAGTTTGGGTCTATTTCTAAATTCTAATGTCATTGCGGATTTTACTGTTGTAGTTTTGCTCATTGCAATCCTTGCATTATGGAGTAGTTGATGAGAACCGAAAATAATAATCAGCGGCAGAAACCGATGCCCAAAGCCGATAAGCAAGATTGAACCCTAACAAGTGGTTTAAATACCCTTCTAGTAACTGACCCAAACAGAATACTCTAATCAAGCCCAAATTAAGTAAACCCTAATTAGGCCCAAATTAACTCCACTAAATACTCTACTAATAACAGGCCCAAACTAGAAAACATAACATAAAACTTATAATAAGTAAAACTAAAACCCCAGCCACCAACCAACCCACGAAGGTGGGTCAAGCCCGTCCCCGCCTTTGGTAACCCAACAAGGGCCTCCGTCTCTCTTTCCCCAAGTCGAGGTCTTGCTCTATATCAATTCCACCCCCTTCAAAATAGTCTTGTCCTCAAGGTTGAAATCCGGAAGCTAACTCACGAAACATTTCTTACTCATCCAAGTAGCATCATCACTTGATTGCCCCAAGTATTCGACCTTCAGACACTCAAAGGCACACCTCTCTTTATTAATCGTCAGGTCACCCTTAACTCGACTCCACTACCACCCCACTCGAAATTCATAGCCAATGTTACCCCATTTGTCCGTACTTTTTCCAACGTGGCCAACCAAGCTACTTGCAAGCTCCAAAATGTTGTTGACCCCGCCCAAAGCAAACACATAGCAATTTGCCTTAACAGCACACCCCTGACAATGAGATAGGAAGTTGTTAGGGACCTGAACACTACCAATAATTAAAGCCTTATTAAGTCATTTTAATTTTGTTCAATAATAGGGTTTAGGGCTTTAGGCCCTATAACTTATTAGAAGTGGGCTGGCCCATTAGAAATAGAATATATAAGGGTGAGTGGTGAGTAGATGAGGGGAGAACTTGGGATCAGGACTGGGATATTGGGAGTGAGAGACCACTCGAAGAGTCTCAAACCTTTCCTTTCGTGACTTTCTGTATTCCTTCACTAAATTTTCATTAATAAACTACTACTTTCTTCTTGGATTCTTCCGTTACTTATCATTGGTATCAAAGCCTACGATCGCTGCACCTTTGTATGGTCTTCACTCTATCGAACATGGAGCAACAGATAAATAATTTGGAGATATCGCTGGAGCGATCTATGGCCGATATGCGCGCTGAGATGAAAGCTTTGATGGACGAAAAAGTACAGTTGTTGCTAGAGAAGATGCAAAGTCTCGAAGTTCAGGGCAGTCACAAGAGAAGAAGAGGACGATCGACCACCAATCGTCAACGCCAGACTTCTGCTAGCGTGAGTTCGTCCAATTTCGGAGGTAACCCTCATGATTCTCAATCCCTTTCTTGTGCTCCTGAGCATACAAGAATTAACGACCGGGTTTATACCGTATGAAAGGTGGATATACCTATGTTTAGTGGAGAGGATGCATATGGATGGCTTATCAGGGTTGAACGCTATTTCAAACTCAACCATGTGGCAGAAGAGGATAAAGTAGAAATAATCTTGATAACCATGGCCGGAAAAGCTCTGAATTGGTACCAATGGTGGGATGAACAGAACGATGACCACGCCTGAGGTAATTTTAAGGAAGCTTTGATCAGACGCTTCCAGCCGGATTTAGTTCAGAACCCGTTTGGTCCGATGCTCAAAAGTAAGCAAACTAATTCAGTAATGGAGTACAGGGATCATTTCGAAATGGTTGTAGCTCCCCTCAAAATTGCTGACCCAGAGATGTTAAAAGGAGTATTTCTCAATGGTCTCAAAGAAGAAATTAGCACAGAGCTGAAGTTGTACCAGACCAGTGGGTTAACTGCTCTCATGGACAAAGCCTTGCTTGTTGAACGGAAAAACATGACATCAAAAGGAGAACAAAATAAAGAAGAAGACAAAAAAGGCTGGAAGGAACAGGGAGGGAAAATGGTTAGACCCTGGAACTGGGCGGAAGCAACAAAGGGAAGAACACCTGCTGTGACTCTGGAGAGAACACATTCAGAGAACAAACTAGAGGAATCACCAAAACCGAATAAGACATGGGAGGGAGGCCAAAGGTTGACACAATTAGAGTTAGAGGAAAGAAGTAAAAAGGGCTTATGTTTCAAATGTGGAAACAAATGGAGCAAAGAACATGTTTGTGGAATGAAACATTATCAATTTATCTTGATGGAAGAGCCAGAAGAAGTGCAGGGAACAGAAGATCAGCTAGATGAACGGGATAAAGCTGCAAACCTGCTGAAAGCAAATGCCAAATTAGTCTCTTATCATCCACCTTGAGGACAAGGCGGAAGTTCAAAGGGGGAGTGATGTTAGGGACCTGAACACTACCAATAATTAGAGCCTTATTAAGTCATTTTAATTTTGTTCAATAATAGGGTGTAGGGCTTCAGGCCCTATAACTTATTAGAAGTGGGCTGGCCCATTAGAAATAGAGTAAATAAGGGTGAGTGGTGAGTAGATGAGGGGAGAACTTGGGATCAGGACTGGGATATTGGGAGTGAGAGACCACTCGAAGAGTCTCAAACCTTTCCTTTCGTGACTTTCTGTATTCCTTCACTAAATTTTCATTAATAAACTACTACTTTCTTCTTGGATTCTTCCGTTACTTATAAGAAGTTGTCTACACACTCCCTCCGAGTCTTGTCTATGTCTATTTCCCAAATGCACTCTAAATCTGCTTGTATTGTCCCGATGCAATTGTAATAGGGAGACCAAGGATGAAGCAATAAAATTGTATCTTGCGCCACCGTCTATCAGAATGGTCACCGTGCATTCCGCTACCACCTTGGAGTCTCATAGTTCGAGGGATGCAAATTCCATCCATAAAATAGACTGAAAAATATCCCCCATCTCCTTCTGAACTGTTAGGGACCCGGTAGAATAAGAGTAAATAAGAAAAGTAATAGCTAGAGTAGTATAAATAGAAAGGGAGTGGGCATTAAAGAGGAGGCTGTTAGACTGTTAAGTCAGAACTGGGAAGATAGAGTTCTAGCTCTATTCTTTTGGGGGCTTCGGCCATTGTAGTTTCGAACCTTCTCAATAAAGCTGTGAAGTTCTTTTGATCTTTTCTCTGATACCACTGTAAGAATCAGCAGAATTCACACTAGAAAAACAGATTTAAGATCAAAAGAACTTCACAGCTTTATTGACAAGGTTCGGAACTACAATGGCCGAAGCCCCCAAAAGAATAAAGCTAGAACTCTATCTTCCCGGTTCTGACTTAACAGTCTAACAACCTCCTCTTTAAAGCCCACTCCCTTTCTATTTATACTACTCTAGCTATTACTTTTCTTATTTACTCTTATTCTACCGGGTCCCTAACATATCTCCCCCCCTAAACATCCATCTTGCCCTCAAGGTGGGCGATAGGAAGCAGCCAAGATCTTCTGCTTCCTCTTCATCCTTGCGCCTCTTCCTTCCCAATACTTGACAGGTTGATGTACTAAAGAATTCAGTACGAGATCTTTTAAGATCACAGAACTTTCAGTAGCAGAAGGAATCTGTAGTGAAGTTTCATTCGGTTCAGTCTCTTTCACATCCAGATGCACAATAGCAGAAGAAACAACTGGAGAATAGTCTTGATGATCCTTGAAATATAAGGAGCAGAAAGTCGCTCTTCAACCTTGGGTTTCAAAATGGCTCTAAACACAGTAGAAGAGTGCCTCCCAGCAATCAAATTTTGATTGTACGTTGCTGTTTCAGTCTCTTTATCATCCATAACAAGCCTGCCACCGCTCATAACCTTCATCCAAGTTAGTGAACCTTCATGTGAAATCACTGCCCCAATTTGAACATTAGCACATGATTCCCCAGAAAAAGGATAAACATGATCCTCAAGAACCACTGGACCAGACCTCATTTGTTCCAAGTATGTATTAAGTAACCCCGTTTCAGAAGCTATTAGGACTCTACTTCCAAAGGAACCTGGGTAAATAAGCAGATCAACAATAGAAACTTGGCTGGGAATTAAATCCACATCGTCTGCCAGATTAGGAGAAAAATAATCTGGTTGTTCAATAACCTGTCTTTTCTCCTTGATTTCATCCTTCCTATTCATTTGTTTGATTACAGGTTCAGTTGGTTTCATCTGGAACTTCTTGATTAACTGGGAAAAATCTTGCCTAGGTTGAGAAACTTATGAACTAAGAGAAGTTCTTGGCGACCATGATGATTCCTGTTTTTCTGTTTTCCGCTTGCGTCTAGGAGGGAAACGCTTAGGGCCTGTTTACTAACAGAGATATTTTCCAGTTTTCCAGAAAACTGGAAAACTAGAAAACAGAAAACAGGAAACGTGTTTACCAAAGAAAATTGCTGAAAAACTGGAGAAAGGAAAACAGAAAAACGCGTTTACCAAACCGTTTTCCAAAACGAAAAAAATGAGATATGTCTCTCTTTTCCTTAATGATTCGGAGAAGTGATTTTTACTAGTTTTTCAAATTTGGAAAATGTAGATGCTACAGGCCGCTGCAATGAATTTGCATACTTACACCTAGTGGTGGGTCCGGCCCCGCTCCGATGTTGATTCCATTCTAGTACCTACATCCTCGTACCTTACCCCTACCTTACCCTACCCACCCAACCCCCAACCCGCATACCCATTTTCCCTACAATGACCCTACCCCCACCCCTACCACATGCCCCTATCTCAGTCCCATCCCGATCCACCCTACCGCCACCCCGACCCACCCTACCCTACCCGCACCTCGTATATTACCCCTTACCCCTTCCCACATGACCCCTACCTCAGCCCAACCCTACCCCACCCTCGTACCGCCATCCTACCCCCACCACCATCCTACCCCCACCCTACCCCTTCCCCTACCTCGGCCCCACCCTACCAACATCCTATCCCAACTTCATACCCTATCCCTACCTTACCCCAACCCGACTCACTACCCTCACCCTTACCCCTAACCACTACCCTAACCCACCCACTACCCCACCCAACCCCGTACCCCTAGATCTTACCACCCACCCCCACCCACCCCCAACCCATACCTTCCTTCCCTACCCCGACCCCTACGAGTAGGTATGGGTGGGTATGAAGGGTTTTAGGGGAGTATGGGTAGAGTGTAAGATCATGCTAAGGGTAGGGGTAAGGGTCAAGGGTGTGAAATTGGGTGTGGGGTGGGGGTACGAGGTATAGGGGCAAGGTAGGGGTTAGGAGTATGGGTACCTGTACGAGGTGATCGACCCCACATATTATATTATATATTTGTGTTCATGAATGTTTGTGTGTCTATGTATGTATAGGGTTATTTTGGACATGTAATGTTAAACGGTGTTTTAAACCTTTTGAAGTAAACACGATCTTATAACATTGCTTATTTTATGCGTCGCTTATTAACGCTAGTCTTAATAAGCACCATTTAGTAACCCGTGAAGTAAACGTGTCATTCTTCTGGATGATCACAGAACTGGATGAAAAAATTGATGAACATATTTTCAGATTTGAAAATGGAAAACTAGAAAATAGAAACAGAACACTGGAGATAGAAAAACTGAAAAATAAAAACAGAAAATTGGAGAACGAAAAACAGAAGTAGAAAACAGGAAAATATCTCTGTTAGTAAACAAGCCCTTAATCGCCGCTTCCTATAGAGCCTTCCAACTATTTTCTCTCGTTTGAAATTCCCACCATTGAAACCATCCAAATGCCTTTTCCTCCATAGCCTTAGCTGCGACGTCCACATTAAATTTTTCTGCAATAGCTTTGACTCGGAAGTATCTTTCCATCCTATCTATCCAATCGTATACTTCATCCTCGTTGAAAAGCGGCAATTCCTCCGTCTTATAACTAGCTGAATTCCAAGAAGCGACTTTAGACGAAGAAAACGAACAGTGAAAATCCTTTGGTGACGACGATTCTTCTCTCGATCGCGTCTATCTTGGGTGCGAACTGATGGCCGTTGATGAAGTCTGCGAACTTTGAGAAGAAGTTTGTGATTGCGAAATATGAGAAGATGTTCGCGATTTCGACTGCGATGAAGATTTCTGCGAATGGTGAGAAACTGTTCGCGATTACGAACAGAGGGAGGATGTTGGTGACTGCGATGATTCCGACCGATCCTCTTGATGCGAAGTGCGATTCGTTGAATGCGAAACAGAATAAACAGTTCGCAACTCAGTATGCGAACTAAAAGAAGCCTTCTCCGCGTACGAACCAGAATGAACAGTTCGCGACTCTGTATGCGAACTGGGGAACAACTGCGATGCGAAGAATGATGCGAAGAGTCCGACTTATGCGATCTGCTTCCCGAATGATCCGGAAGTCGATTTTGAATATCAGCGAGACTCGCTTGCATAGCGGCCATCATCGTTTCCATATTATCTTGCCTCACTGTCGTTTCTCTCTGCTTTCTGGCCATATCCATCATGTTTCTCTCCAGTTCCGTCATACGCTCTTCCATCTAGCACGCGTATATCTCATCCAGAGATCGACGTGCTCTGATACCACTGTAAGAATCACCAGAATTCACACTAGAAAAACAGAATTAAGATCAAAAGAACTTCACAGCTTTATTGAGAAGGTTCGGAACTACAATGGTCGAAGCCCCCAAAAGAATAGAGCTAGAACTCTATCTTCCCAGTTCTGACTTAACAGTCTAACATCCTCCTCTTTAATGCCCACTCCCTTTCTATTTATACTACTCTAGCTATTACTTTTCTTATTTACTCTTATTCTACCGGGTCCCTAACACGAACCCTCTGGTCTTTTTGAACTTTTTCTTGGCCGGTTATTTCATAATAACCATGCTATTGGAGGTCCAACTCCTCATCCTCCTCAGCTATCGTCACCCCGTAACTGCTTTAATGGACAGTCATGCCTTGGTGTAAATTGTTTCTTACACCTAAAGCATAATCCTTTTGCCTGCAATTCTTCTAACACCTTTGGCGGAAGTCGAGAGAACCTGGAACGAGCAGTAGACTGTCTGGACAACTCCGAATTTGTTCCCGGGGCTGCCCAATATCTTTAGGAAAGCTGTCACTCGATCCCCTTATGCTGCCATCACTCATGGGCCTCATGGCCATGTTGTTACCCCCACTTGGTCACAAAAATCTGCCTGAACTCGATCCCGTATTGTAATCCCCTGGCCTCCATTCTGAAAGGACATATTGTCCTCAATATCTCTGGTCAAATCCATGGCTATTTCAACTCTCAAGAATGGTTGGCCGCAGCAACCGTAAGGATCCCTGAATCAGCCCTTTCACCTCATTCCTGAAATATCCCAGATAATGTTCATCAAACATCCCAGGAACCATACTCGCCAGTTGAACACAAATTGAGATGTAATCCTCCATTGTCCCTGTCTGCAAAACGATTTCCCTTAAACCATGAGTCAAATCACGCAACCAACGCTTGTGTGAACATCTGCCACGTCATGCCAGGCTTCTGAGCCCTTAACTAGGTTAACCAGTGCAAGGCAGACCGTTCATCGCAACCAAAGCTACTGCCACCTTTCATTCGGCCGGGGCAAAATGTTTCTCAGCCCTAGCAATCCAGCAGATAGGGTCTTCGCCATCAAACGAGGGCAGCAAGGCGAGTGTTGGCTGTGCGATCTGCTATCGCAGGTGTGCACCGTACCCGTGGCTTTGGAGAAGGCTACCGATGATGGCTCCTCCATATCTGGCGGCGTGAGTGCCTTCGTGATCGCAACCAGAGAGGCTGTGATCTCCACAAGTTGGATGCCTTGCGCATCCAGCTTCTGCCCTTGCGCGTCGAGTTTCTGATTCATTAAGGCCCGTTCGGCCTCCAACTCCGTCAAACAATCGCTGTGAGATCTTGTCATTCTGGTGGGAACAGGATCCGGCAGGTCGGATCAATTAATGAGAACCGAAAATAATAATCAACGGTAGAAGCCGTTGCCAGAGCCAAAAGGCTGAAATCCAATTTTATCAACTGATAAGCAAGAATGAACCTTAACAAGTTGTTTAAGTACCCTTCTAGTAACTGACTCAAACAGAAACCCTAATTGAGTCCAAATTAAGTAAACCCTAATTAGGCCCAAATTAACTCTACTAGATACTCTACTAATAACAAGCCCAAACTAGAAAACATAACATAAAGTTTATAAATTATACTCCCTCCGATCCTAAATAAACGTCACACTCTGACATTACAGTTTTTAAGAATGTAGAATATTTGCTTTTTACTTTCCCATCACACCCCTACAAAAAGTAGATAAAGTGTAATAGGAGAGATAAAGTGAGTGTAAAGTATGTAATAAAGTAAGGGTATAAGGGTAACGGTATATTAAAAACTTGCAAAAAATAGAAGTGAGAAATTTATTTTGGAGCTGCCCAAAATGGAAAGTTTGAAGTTTATTTGGGACCGGAGGGAGTAATAAGTAAAACTAAAACCTCAGCCAACAACCAGCCCACGAAGGTGGGCTCAAGCCCGTTCCCGCCTTTGGTAACCCAACAAGGGCCTCGGTCTCTCTTCCTCCAAGCTGAGCTCCTGCTCTATATCAGTAATTCTCTTATTTTAATGACTTAACCTCATTCATACATTATGATATTAAACTTTCTCATTTCATTGTATAGTAAATTAGTAATAGAATGGTAGATGTTTACCAATACATAAACGGAACAGAGAGTGATGTTAGTTGGTGTGCTAAACAAATTATGGAAACAATTTATTATACAGCTTCTTTGCCTCAATTATAACTACTACTTTACATTGTAGCAGGAAGGATGTGCACTCATTGGGTTCAACAGTGGGTGTCTGGTTTATTTCCTTAATTTGGACTGCTGGTGGGCTGGCTGTGGTATTATTTTTGGATGAAATAGATGTTTTGGTAAAGGTGATTATTGACACTTAAATATGCTGAGCTTTAATTACTTTGTGGTTCCTCTATCCGTATGACCATATAATATTGTTGTGTTTATTTCTAGTTTTTCTATTTGTTTTATTCCTTAATTTTTCCGTCATTTGCAATGGAGCCAAAGATTCATTATTTTTTGGCTTGCGATTATGATGGAATAAAGCAAAATGACTCACTAAACTGTCTGCGCTTCTTTGTTATGAAGCAGCAGTCAGTCCATGCAATTTTGGATGAGATTTTCACTATGGTCATCCGGAAACACTCTCTCTGTGCTTTAGTATAGGGGTAAGACTGCGTACATCCGACCCCCCTTACCCCACCGTAGGTGGGACGGCACTGGGGTAAATGAAAATGAAATGTTTTATTCCTTAGTTCTTAATTTCTTATTAAAAAGCCAAACTTTTGTAGCCAGTTGTAACCAAAGGTTTAACCATATCCAATTTTAATCTACTTCTGTTTTTTGTTGATATTATAGCCAATTTCCAATTTTGTCAAAACTGACCAACTCCAATTTCATAATAATCTAGTCTTCCTCTCTTGTATATCTAGAATCTCCCCCTACACCACTTTTTCCCAGAAATTTTTTAAGCTTTATTTAGATATTAAAAATAGAAAATATATTTACCAAATATTTAAATTCTTGATATTTGTGACCAAGTATTGTTATATTTCATATACTTGATATCAAATGCTATACAAGAAGCTATATTTATAGCTACATTTAGAGCACTAAGGTTCCATATACAATGATATACAAAATGGGCTAAGCCCAACTCTACTATGGTTTCTACACTCCCCCTCAAGCTGGAGCATATAAATCATATGTACCAAGCTTGTTACAAATATATCCCACTCTAGGACCTCTAAGAGACTTAGTTAGAATATCTGCAAGTTGTTCGGTTGTGTTGACATAATTTGTGATGATATGTCCGCTTGCGATCTTCTCTCGGATAAAATGGCAATCAACTTCAATATGCTTAGTCCTCTCATGATATACCGGATTTGATGCAATGTGCATTGCGGCTTGGTTGTCACACATGAGTTGGACCGGTTTTGTGTTTCCATATTTTAACTCTCGTAGAAGATGCTTCAACCATAAGATTTCACATGTCGCAAGGGCCATTGCACGATATTCTGCTTCAGCACTAGATCTGGCAACCACATCCTGTTTCTTACTTTTCCATGAGATTAAGTTTCCACCAATCAAGATGCAATATCCCGAAGTGGAACGTCTATCCATCGGACATCCGGCCCAATCTGCATCACAATATCCTACAATATCATGGTGATCTCGGTCTTCGAACAACAATCTTTGTCCAGGTGTTTTCTTGATGTATCTCAAAACTCGAATAGCTGCATCCCAATGTCCATTACATGGCTTATCAAGAAACTGACTAGGGACACTTACCGCAAATGAAATATCTGGCCTCGTGATGGTAAGATAATTCAATTTGCCAATGATCTTCTATATTTTTCCCTGTTGGGCAAAAGATCTCCCTGTTTTGACAAGAGTTTGACGTTTGGATCCATAGGTGTATCTACTGGCCTGCAATCTAGCATACCTGTTTCCTCAAGAATATCCAATGCATATTTTCTTTATGAAATGGCAATTCCATTTTGAGATTGTGCGACCTCAATGCCAAGAAAGTATTTCAACTTTCCCAAGTCTTTTGTTTGGAATTTGCTAAAGAGATATTGCTTTAGGAGTGCAATTCCTTGTTCATCGCTACCTGTAATGACAATGTCATCAACATATACAACAAGATAAATACATTTGTTGCCTGCAGAATGTCTATAAAATATAGAATGGACGACATCACTGCGAATCATGCCAAAATCGCAGATAACGACACTAAACCTCCCAAACCATGCACGTGGTGATTGCTTCAAGCCATATAAAGCACGACGTAATCTGCATACCAAACCAGACTCCCCCTGAGCAACAAAACCAGGTGGTTGCTCTATATAAACCTCATGCAGATTACCATGAAGAAATGCATTTTTAATATCCAATTGGAATAATGGCCAGTGGCTCATTGCTGCCATGGATAAAATCAAACGAATCGATGCAATCTTCGCTATAGGAGAAAAAGTGTCAGTGTAATCCAAACCATAAATCTGAGTGTACCCTTTTGCCACAAGGCGTGCTTTAAAACGATCAATTTGCCCATCAGGACCAACTTTAACGGTGTAGATCCACCGACACCGAACCATTGATTTGCCAGGGGGATGGGGAACTAATTCCCACGTCCCACTAGAATGAAGAGCCTTCCATCTCAGCCAACATGGCTTTACGCCATTCCGGATGTGCCAATGCCTCATGTGTTGCTTTAGGGATGGGTATATGAGACAGGTGTGAAATGAAAGCAAAGTAAGGGGTAACTCAAAAAGTTATATATGGGATGTGGATTCAAAGTAGAACGCGTACCTTTTCGGAGGGCAATGGGAAAATCATCCGGAGTGTTTTCAGGTGGTGCGGTAGTTGATGGTGATGATGCAGGAACCGTCATAGGGGAATCAACTGGTGTGGCCACGATAGGCTCATTGGGAGGAGGTCGAGGGCGACGATGGTATACTTGTAATGGAGGAGGGTTTACCACAGGAGAATAGTGGGGCTGCCCATCAGATGGAGGGGAACGAACAGTGTCTGGATGGATGGGCCAAAGATATGAGATGAAGTCCAAACATGATGGAGTGTCAGCTGCAGATAATGGGTAATAAAAGGAGGACTCGATAAAAGTGACATCAGCCGAAATGAAATGCTTCTTAAGGGATGGAGAATAACAACGATAACCCTTTTGGACTCGTGAATATCCAAGAAAAATGCTTTTTATTAACCTAGTTGACATTTTAGATAATCCAGGTGTAAAATCATGGACAAAACACACACACCCAAACACATGAGGTGGTAATGGAAATAACTCACGAGTAGGAAACAAGACAAAATAAGGAATTTCATTATGGATAAATGAGGAAGGCATTCTATGTATTAAATAACACGCAGTGAGTTCAACGTCTGCCCAATACTGAGGTGGTGTATGTGAATGTAATAACAGAGTGCGGGCAGTATCAACTAAGTGTCTGTTTTTGCGTTCAGCTACCCCATTTTGTTGAGGTGTGTGTACACAAGAAGACTGGTGAAGCATACCCCGTGATGTCATGAAGTGATTAAAGGGTGCCGCAAAAAAATTCTTTAGCATTATCACTGCGTAAAATTTTGATAGGATGACCAAACTGAGTAAGGATTTCAGCACAAAAAGTTTGAAAAATATGGAATAATTCAAAACGTTCTTTCATTAAAAACAACCATGTGTAACGGGAAAAGTCGTCCATAGAAATAACAAAATAGTGAAATCCTAAAGTAGAAGTGACTCGATACGGACCCCATACATCTGTATGAACTAAATCAAAAGGGGACGCAGCCCGTTTATTAACACGCCTCGGAAAGGATTGACGAGGTTGCTTTCCAAGGTGACATGACTCATAATCTAAAGACGAAAGACTTGAGAAACCCGAAACCATACGTCGAAATTTTGAGAGGCTAGGATGACCCAAACGGTTATGTAACGTTAATGCAGGTTCAATGGAGACACAAGCGATTGGATCAACAGGAGGAAGATGATACAAGCCTTGCGATTCATGCCCGACGCCAATCGTCTTCCTCGTACGACGGTCCTGCACAATTACAGAATCGGCAAAAAAGGTTATAGAACAATCAAGAGCACGCGTAATTTTGCTAACAGAGACAAGGTTAAAGGGGCTATTGGGAACATATAAGACTGAATGTAATGGTAAGGATGAAAGTGGAAGTGCTTGCCCAATACCTGTGGCCGAAGTTTGATGGCCATTAGCTAGAGTAATTAAAGGAAGGTGTTGGTGCTTAGTAATATGGGAAAAGATGGGGATTACCAGAAATATGGTCGGAAGCACTTGAGTGAATGATCCATGAGCCTGCGGTGTTGGAAACACAAGCGGTAGACGTACCAGGTGCAGACAAAGGCACATTAACCGACTTAAATTTCTGATATGCGGCATATTCGGCTGGAGGTAGAACAACCGGAGATGGCGAGATCTGAGCAACAGTGGCTGAGCTAGGAGGTCTCCCGTGTAACTTCCAACATCTATCTTTAGTATGACCAATCTTATGACAGTAGTCACACCATGCTTGTCACGGTGTCGCCTAGGCGTCGCCTAGTCGCCGACTAGGCGTCCTGGCGCTAGAGAGTGAACGCCGTCTTCACTCGCCTCGCCAAAAGAGGAATAGTCGCGATAGGCGTCCTCCAGTCGTCGCCTAGGCGCGGTTTTGCGACAAGTCGTCGCCTTTTTTGCCGGTCCAACAACCGTCCGCAGGCCCAGAAAAAAATAGATTTAGGCTTTTAATTGAAAACAAAGCCCAAAGGGTTCAGATAATCTTACGGGCTATTTTGTCGCCATCGTCGTCTAACTCAAGTCGTAGAGACAAGCCAGACGAGTCGGAGGAATCAAACGAAACGCGGCAACTCCAGGGAACAGGAGAGCTCGCCCGTCTCACCCTCCCTAAGTCCCTTGCGGAAGCTTATTAGCGCTGAGGAGACCAGTACGTTCTATATTTTTTCTAGTCTAGTGGAGTAATATTTTAATTAAGTTGTATATGTATATATATACGTATATACAGAGTATTTTGTAAACATGATATGCGCAATTATACCCAAATATACTGAGTTCAGATTTGCTTTGCAGTATATTATTAATTGTTAATTTATTATATACGAAGTATGTTATAAAATAATAGTGTTAAACTATTAATAAAAACAAAAACTATTATATATAATGAAATGCGTACTTTACTTTTTGTAATATATAAAGAAATGCAATTTGATGAGTAATATATTATATATAACTATATATAACTATGTATATATAATATAATATACTATGTGCAACTAGTCGCCTAATTGTCGCCTAGGCGGGCGCCTTATCGCCTAGGCAATATGGCGGTTGGCTGGCGCCGCGACTCGACTTACCGCCGTGACAAGTATGAGTCACACTTAGGTCGGCTTCGACGCAGATATCCTTTGTTGTGTCCTCCATCAGGCCCCACACCTTGGGATGCAAGAATGGTAGAATCAGTAGAACCCAATTCAGCAGATATAGGGCCGCACGAAGAATTCGAGAAAAAGCATCTGTCATAGTTGGAAAAGTAGAACTTGAGAGAATTTGTTCACGAATAGATAAGAGCTCTGGGCGAAGACCCGCCAAAGCTAAAACCATAACAAGTTGCTGTCGTTGTTCTAGTTGTTTCTCTCTAACTTCCGTGATGGGTTGAATGGTATTATACTCAAAGAGTAAAGCCTCAGCCCGGCCTAGAAAATCCTGGATGTCCAATTCTTTTGCTTGAGCATGGCAATTTTGGATCCGAAAGAAAACAGACTTTGAATATCATTAGTGTTAATTAGACTTGGTTTTCACCCAAATCTGTTTACACGTTCGATATGATTGATATGTAAGATGAAGTTTGGAGTCCATGGATTGCCACAAAACATTGCACACCAGTGCATCCATATTCTCCCATTCCGTTTTCTTATCCTTGACTGAATTGGCATCTGTGAGCAGGTGATCAATTTGTCCTTGACCTTTGAACCACATCTCCACAGAAATGGCCCATGATTGATAATTAGCATTTCCAACCAAACGGTCCGTTGTAATAACAGGAACCGAAGCAAATGAAGAAAAACCAGAAGACATTTTTTTTAATTCCTTTTTTTTGAGTTTTTTTTTTTAAATTAAAGAGAAAAGTAAATATGAGTAATTTAAAATTACTGCTGCAAGGAAAAACTATAGCAAAGAGGATCTGTGAATAAAAAAAAAACAAAGCAGCAGTAGCAAACCAGAGAGCAATGAAGAAGCTGAAGAAACTGTCTGGTGAAACGGCCGGAGCAGCGGTGAGCGGCCGGAGCAGCGGCAAGCGGACAGAAAGACGGCAACGGCAACGACCGATCTGGGCAGCGTGTGGGTTCGGCGGCGGCGCGTGTGATCGGCGGCGGCGCGTGAGTTGTCCGATGAGTGGCTGGTTTATGTTGTTTTGGTCGCCAGGAGTCACAGATCTTCAGTGTGTCTTCTGTGTGATCTCCAGATAACTAGAACGGAGTAGATCTGCAAATATGTAAGTGAGCTGCAGGAAGGGGCGGTGGCGCGTGAGGGCGCGTGGTAGCCTCTGTGGCGGTACTGTTCCGGGTGGTTGGTCGCGATGGTATGCTGTGCAAGGCGGTAGGTGTAGATCGGATATTCACTACCGGAAGTGTGCTCCAACATCAATCGCAGCTACTGTTTACGCCGGAAATTATGCCGGAAATGCTTGCCGGAAACCAGCACCCTAACTACGGTGTGCCATATAGGCTCTGATACCATGTGAACAAGTATTGTTATATTTCATATACTTGATATCAAATGCTATACAAGAACCTATATTTATAGCTACATTTAGAGCACTAGGGATCCATATACAAAGATATACAAAATGGGCTAAGCCCAACTCTACTATGGTTTCTACAATATTCATCAAATAAAGATGAAAAATAGCATTGAAGACTATCCTCTGAATGACCAATCTTTTATACAATAAGTTTCCAGTGGTTTTAAATTTTGTGTTTGTGTGTGTACTCAACATTCCTATGGCTCATGTACTCATGTCTTTACATGTTTGATGTGTGTCAAGATTCTGAATATTTGGTAATAGCCTAGTGGTAGTTTTCCTTTTTTTTGGTGACGAATGATTGCTTTTAGAAGTTCAATGGTATAAAGCAGGAAGGTTATGAAGTTGTATCCGATCAATTGACTAAAAATAGAATCATGCTAAATGGGCACAGAAAAACCCTGAAGTTTGTATCGGTTGCAAAACTTTAATGATTTGGCTATAAACACAATCGGTCACAAATGTTAGGTTACCATGTTTTGTTACCAAGTGTATAGCCTAAAGTTATACCAACTTTACTTGTCACCCATAGTACTCCTAGAGTCCTAGAATGTGTCATAAACTTCATTTTTACAACATCAAACTATCAACTGTGTACTGGTCTATAACTTGTAAACCACAAAATCTAATGCCATCTACGCTATTTATTAAGATATACAAATGTAAATAATTATGTCATGTTTCTCCAATTTGTAACTGTGAAGCGTATGACTCTCATTCTTATTCATGCAATTGATTTCTTGAATTTATGGTAATCCTCAAATTCATCGTGTGGAAGCATAACCAGAGATGATGAAATCCTGACTGATTTAGTAATGAAAGTAGGCATGGTAGTCAAAGACAGAATATCGGACTTGGAATTTTTAGCAGACTGGCCCGGCGGAGGAGGTACAGCGGCGGTGTGTGGGTTTTTCGGGGGTAGCGGACAGAATCCAGATATTTTTGGGAGGATCGCCGGGGAATGGCCGTTTTTTGGTATAGGCGGTGACAAAAATGGAGCACCGGAGAACAGTAGATCTGGAGATGAGCAGTGCAGTTTTTTTTTCACTTCCGGATGCGCGTGGCGGCGCGTAGGAGGGTCCCTGACGGCGAAATATCTGGTGGTGTGTCGCACTAATGTTCCAAGGCGTGCGGTAGGATTGTTTTTTGAAACACACTACTGGAATGTCTCGAAAGATAAGCAGTCACTAAAAAATGTTACTCCCACTAGAAAACTTCATGCCAAAAAACTAAACAATATACTGAAAACTAGGTAATTCATGGCTCTGATACCATGTCAAATATATGACTCTGATTCTTATTCATGTTATAAAAGATTACAATAATAGCCTTATTTATAGCTTTAACTAGGGTAAAAGTAAAACTAGGGCTAACTACATAAAGTGGGCTGATCCCAATAAGCTAGGATTTGGGATTTTGACACTTGATAGTAACATTTGGATTGACTAAGATCAGTGAGGCATTGTTTAGTCTCTTCTTAAAATAGTATGATTTACCCACCCATTTTTGTGTAATGGGTGATTACCTTCAAAAGTACTTTTTATCAGCCAGATTACCACAAATGTAGATCGGCTCTAAGTGAAATGATCTACTGTAAGTCATGGTATAGTCAAGAACTTGTACCGAAAGGGTTCCCTGACTTCCCTCTCTTTCATGTAAAACTGTCAAGACTCAAGATTGTTGTGCTAGATATCAACCATATTATCTCATTGTTGCAGGCAGCCCATGTTTTGTCTCGTGCAATGTTACATGTATCTGATTTGCCCGGTTTAGCTGCCTGCCTTGATCATCAAAAGAATTCACGCCAAGAAGTGTCTTCAAATCTTGGAAACCATGAAGCAGTGATGACTAGAGGTGGAATGTTTTTTAGTAGTCTTGTCATTCTTGAGAATATCTGTGAGCTGAAATCAGTTGAAATCATCCTTCACCATTCCAGGAAGCAGTGTAGTGCAGATTCAGATAGGATGAATGCTCACAAAGATACCAACCAGAAGCTTGATAGTGAAGCCTTGTTAGACTGTGGAATCCACATATCTGTTCAGCACTTTGATATGTTGTTTTCATTTGAAACTGAAAAGGTGGATATTTGCATCAAACTATCTGGGTTTCAATGTGATATTCTGGGACAAATAAATGAGATTGCTGATGTTTCTGATCGATTAGAACTTACAAATGTTATCCAATCATTGCATCAGTTATATGGAGCATCATGTTCAAACTGTAAATTTGAAATATGCTGGAAAGCCATACCACTCCCCAGTTTGAAAAATTCAACTGATGCTTCTACATCTGGCAGTGCAACTTTGAATATTTCTGAAGATCCCCCCTCAGCGGCGAAAGCTGATGAGCATTCTTTTGATTGTTTACACATGAACATTGTTCTTGCTGAAGTTTATTTAGCTGGATGCCCTGTAAAAAATTTGTTAGTTCAACCACACAAATCAAATAATCTTCAAGGATCTCTTTCTGTTGGTGGAGAATTTTATAATATCTCTTGCCAGACTCAGGTCTCTGTTCTGTTGTTATCACTCTATGGTTACATGCAGTTTCTTCAGTCATCTTCTGCTGCTCCTAATTTTATCAAATGGATTATGTTAACGTTGTGTAGGGAGGTTATGTTGTGATTGAATCAGCAGCACTTATAATGTTTGTTCAATGCTTTGCACTATACTGTTGCCGGTTCAGTGAGATTTGGCCTGCTGCAACATCATCCAGGGAAACACATGCTGGAAATGTGAAATCTATGAAAAATTTACCAAACCAAGAATTGCAGAACCAGCAATTAATTAATTGGAACCAATTGAAGGCACTGAGTATAAATATTTCACAACTTTCTCTGGCATTCATGGGCAGAGATGAATCCGGTACCATCTTTACACCTTTTACTTTATTGGTGTATCCAAATGTTTGAGAAGTTTCGATCTCCTTTGCAGGTAGACTTCAGCAACTCCTGCTTGTGGCTACCAGTCATTTTAACCTCAAAGAACCTATGAAGTTTTCATTTAGTATTTCAAAATTTTCAATTCTTTCATGCTCTGTTGACATAGGCATGGAACAGAAAATCAGAGACACCAACATTCTCTCTTCTTCTTCTCCTTTGATGTCAAACAAGAGACACAGCGGTCTTTCAGTTTCCTCTTTAAAGCATCAGAATAAGATTCACTCTAATGATGCAAGTAGCTCAAGCTCTCATGTTTTTCAAAAGGAAACTATTGCTGATGATTCAGGAAAATCTTGTGTGGATGATGTTTTATCACAAAACTTGCTTGCGTCTCCTCAAAACTATATTATGCGAGACTTATCAGCCTCTATAGTGGTTCAGCGGCGTGTGATGAGAAATTGGATTGATTCTCAGCAGTTGAAATATTTTTGGGTTGGCCATGGTTCTCTTTCAGGTTTTGACATGACCATCTCTCTGCCTGAAATACAGGTGAACAGTATCATTAAGTGCTGTTTTCATTCTATTTTGATATTCTGCTATTATTTTATGAGAAATGTAGATATTTCAGGATGAAGTAGCTGCCATTAGAAACCAACCTGATAGTATATCACAGTGTTGTTCTTAGACCCCTGTTTTGAATTCCTACATCTATGTCAATTAAAGGGGATAGCTAAGAACGGAGAGAACTCATTCTACCTTTAAATTGTATTAAAAGTATACAAAAAGTAGATATAGAGTAGAAAGGGTGACATTGTGCAAAGTGCAGATAATAATATTTGCATATAAGGTGGCTCAAAGTTGTCTATAGGGTATTAGAGTGCTTGAGCTCAAATAATAGCTGTCATCTACTGACTACTTTAACAATTTATAATGGGTGAGTTTAAGGACATGACTTTAAAAGTCTACTTGTCAGTTTCACCTTTTCAGAAAAAATGAAAACAAACCACATTAATAACAGACTACATAATTAAAACTTCCAACAGTTCAACCTCTTTTTATTACATCATGATATTCTTCCAATAAGCAGGAGTGATGTTCAGATATAATGGATCTAAGTATGATGGATATCTTGATAATATGTCTCTTGATGTGGTTTTGAGTATTATTGTATAGTTTGTTATTTTCTCGTAACACGTGTTTGGAGTTGATTCTGTAGCTTATCTCTTCTACTGGGGCTTAATCTTGTTCCTTTTATTTGATCTCACCTATCTTTATTTCCTGGGATTATTTAGATGATACTTCTTGCGGGTGAGTCATTTTCTGCGCTTTATAGCAATGATATTAGTAGAGGTGTGCGACAAAGGAGCTTGACCAGTAGTCAGGAGTTTGCTGGAAAGATGGATCGCAGTGTTCCTGATGGTAATGCTCTTTCTTTGTTTGGATACTTTGTTAGTTTGATGATGGTCACCGCCTTCATCAGCACCTTAATTCCAACTATGTTGGGATTGGTGGCATGATATTTAGTGCCAATTAATTGCGTAAAATTGTTTAACACCAAATTGATGATATTGAAGGACACTGGATTTAAGAGTTGAAATATGAACAGGAACTATTGTTGCCATTGAAGATGTCTATCAACATATGTTTATTGCAGTTGATAGTGCTGAAAGTAGTTATAGTTTAGTTGGTGATATACACTATTCACTTGCAGGCGAGAGAGCTCTCTTCAGGGTAAGAAAGTTTCTTTATTGCAGATCTTTTTCAATATAATGCCTTGGTAAATGTTTAAATGCTAAACGTGTTGTTAATGTGACTATTTCATTTATGAAAAAATGATGTGATTACCTTCGGCAATTGTCATCAACAAATGGTTCCTACTAATGAGATAGACCACAATGAGAGAATGATTTATGTTGAGAAAGTAATTATTGAATTCTATTTGCTGCTATTTTCAACAATTTAGTATGGTTTTGTATTTCGTATATCTGCCTTTTTGTTATTTGTCCACAGATTAAATATTAAACTATATGGTTTTAAGATCGTAACATTTACTGGTGCATTAGGCAGAAAATGCATGAGATTTCTGTTTAACATTCAGTGGGACCCTTCTACTTCAGTCCATTGCTTCATTTGCGAATTTGTTCACCAAAAAAGAAGGCATTAAGTGCGTCTAAGGTCTCTTTATTCTATTTTCTATGCTCAGATCAAGTATCATGATTCCAGGAGGTGGAGCCCACAAATTCCTTATTTCTCATTGATTTCGTTGTATGCTACGGATGAATCTGGGGAACCGCTGCACTTAAGCTGCCAGGTTAGATCTGATTATGTTGACATTTCCAGCACCAATCGTGGTGCATGCACACTTTGGTATGCCATTCCTTTTGAATCAAAAGCGTTTGAGGGAGCTGCTGATTGTGAAATGTTCCCCTCAACTAAACATATGTTTCAACTTGTGAACAAGAAAAATGGCCGGGCTGCTGCTTTTGTTGATGGAGTCCTTGAACTGGTCAGCAAGCCTGGAAATCCCTTCAAGTGGAAAGTACTTCCGAATCATTTTCCACCTGTTAATAATAATTTGCCTAGTAACCAATCAGGGGAGGTATCTCAGACTAGTAGTCAATGTGATTTACATGTAGAAGACATAGCAAATCCTGGAAAAAATGAAAATAGTTACGGTATAACCATTACAGTGGACAATATATCATGGACCATTGTGCATGAACTTTCACATACCAAGGAAAAGTTTCCACTCCTTCACGGATCTGTTAGTTCAACTGAAACCGTGGTTCAGATTTCAAACATTAAAGTTCGGGTTATAAGCAGGTTACAAGCTATACTACATTTTTTTGATGCCAACAAAAACTCATGGTAAGCGATTTTTTTGGTAAACATTTTTTATCTAAGAAATATCAGGAGAATCCATATCACTTTCCCCAATGCTTCAATACATTTAAATATTTGCAGGAGAGAACTTATGCATCCACTTGAAGTTGTCCTTTTCTATCGTTATAGACTCCTCTCTGAGGACTTGGGAAATGTTACACATCAGATGCCTGGTCATTTCTATGCAAGAACTGGAGAGGTCTGTTATCATGTGTCCTACTTCTCTTTATTTGCTGCGGCTCGTTGTCTGATATTCCTAATTTTCTGTTGCATGGCATTTGCAGTTAAATTTTACAATGAGTGAGCTTTCACTCGATATCATACTCTTTATCATTGGACAGTTGAATTTGGCTGGACCTTACACAGTGAGAAGCTCCAATATTTTGGCGAACTGCTGCAAGGTTTTCCATACCATATCTGAACCTTTTTAGTTAAAGTACATAGTATATGCTTAATAATATGGTGTTTGTGGAGGACCAAATGCATCTTAATGCCTAGTATTTATGATTGGAAACTTAATAGTCTCCATCCTACAGATCGAAAACAAGTCATGCTTGACGCTTGTCTGTAACTTTTATGATAATAAAGATGTTTCAGTTGCTGGAAGACAGTCTAATATCATATTCTTAAGGTACAGTAGTACATTTTTCTATTTCAGATTGAAATATTCGGTGCTATTTCTCTTGAAGGCTTGAACCAATCTCGCAATCTGCTATGTTACAACCGCTGGGGTTTTCTTGGTTGGGCTAGCTTGCAGCTTGCTAAAAATCACTCCCTATGAATTTATTGCATCCATCTTGCTCTAGCAACCCTGTTAAAATTGAAATGATTTTTAAAAGAAAATTGGTAAAAAGTTTTTCCCCCTTTTCTGATGAAGCAATATAAATCAAAAGCCACCTGCAATGTAATAAATCAACCTCTATTGTCATCATAGCTATCTTGTTAGTTACTACTTACTTTTTCTAAAGGATATGCATCTCAGGCATTTGGCTTCAACAAATCAAACCCAAGACGCATCTATCTTTTCAATCCAACTTACAGAGACGAGGGTCCTTTCTACTTCTTTGATTCGTCTCTCTCTCTCGGAAGCCCAAACATTCTCTTGCAGAACACGTATAGAATCATCAAAAGGCGAGTTTGTCTGTTTTCAGCAACATGAATCAAAACTGTTTATATCTGGATTAATAGAAATGTTAATCTTACTTTTACAGGTTGTTTCTTTTTCTTTTAGTTGATTATTATTTATTATTATCACTATTATCTTCTTTCGGCAAGATCTCAAATTTGTAATATCTATTGATACAACTAGGATATTAAGTGTAGCAGACTAGCTGGGTTGTTTCTTTATCTTTTATCCCTTGTTTGGTTCAAAGAGGGGAAAGGAGAGACGGGGAAAGCGTAAAAGGAAGTGAGGTTGAAAAACTTGTTATCTTTGGTTCAATGAAAACAAGAAGAGCGGCAAGAATTGGTGTTTCATAAAAATATGATAGTATTAATTTTTTATTATAATTTTAATGTAACTAATGATAAATTCGAGGCTTAAGTATGTTTTTAGTCCTTGTAAATACAACACACTTTGGTTTAGATCCCTGCACAATACTACTACCTCCGTCCCGTTGAAAGGTTCCCATGGCAAAACGGCACAGTTATTTAAACATTAATTAGATAAGGTAGTTCGAGTATATTTTGAGAAAATTTTATAATAGGTATGTAATATATTGGGGCTAGTATTAATAACTGTTAAAAATGTATTATTTTAAATATTTAATGATTAAATTGTCATTTAAGATTGTTAATTGTTTCCTATAATAGAAGTGGGTACATTTATATGGGACATCCAAAAAGGAAAAGTGGGAACCTTTCTACGGGACGGAGGGAGTATTTTCTTTTTAATCCCTCTATAACTCCAAGACAGTCTCCATTTAGAAAACAATAATGTTACCGGAAACTTTTAAGTTCACCGTTTTCTAACTTCCTGGAGAACGATATTGGAGTTAAAACAATGGAAAACTAATTATTCATGTTTAAATTAGGTCTTAACAACCCCCGAGAAAATAAATTTACACGTTCTCGGAATGTCATGACGAAGAATGATAGGATATCTAATACTCCCTTTGTCCCACTAATATTGTCCCATTTTACCTTTTCGAGAAATCCCACTAAAATTGTCCCATGCCGAATTTGGTAAAGTTTGTGTGGCTCTAAATCATTCTTACTTTATTCTTACTTTATCAATTAATATCAACCACATAAACCCACTTTACTTAATAACCGTGCCACCCCCTTCCGCCCCAATATTAGTGGGACGGAGGTAGTAATATATTATTAGTAAAGATTGTTTTGTTGTCAACTGGAAGTTGTTATGATCAGTGAGATACTAAAAAGAAAAGGAACATAAGTGACAGGGTTAAAAGCAAAAAAAAAAGTAATTTTACAGGGACATAAAACAAGAACCAATGTAATTCCATGGACTAAAAACATAAGCATTATATGTATCATGATAATGTATGCTAGCAGATTTTACTAAAAATTGAAGCTAAAATTAAGAAAAATATCAGTATGCCACAATCTCCAATTTGGAGAAGTGAGATATGAGTAGTGTGGGAGACTGGGAGTCCCATAACTCCTCCAGCCCCCCTGCCCCCAACCTTTTCACCCAAACACATTAAATGCACCTTCAGTTCCCTAAAATCTTCCAATCAAACAAGGGCTTAATCTATTTTTTAGCTAGACAATTCCATTCAAATTAGCCGACCCCAAACTCTTTTGGGACTAGAGCTTGGATGTTGTTGTCAACATTTGTACTCAAATGCCTTCAGTTATTTGTTAGTTATGAAAATTACATGGGTTGAATTAAGCAAATGCTCCATCGTGCTTTTTAAAATGTCACCATCATTTTGATATGTGTTTCAACGGTCTTCTTAATTAGACATAGTTATGATTTAATCTTCTGTAGTGTTTCGGTATGAATGACATTGTACATTTGTACGTATTATTTGTGTACAATTTTTTAATTCTTGTGGTACCTTATAATTAGCTTTTTTCATCTCTGATTGATTCAGAATCAAAAACCTTCCCTGGTCCATGCCTCATGGTCGAAATTTCACCTATGACTGAGGTACCATCACAAATTGCTTCTTTTGTGGAAGTTTATTGAAATGTGATACCGTTGTTAATATAGGAATGCCATATTTCTGTTTCCCCACCCTAGGATGGCTTGTCAGTTGTGATATCTCCATTGCTTCAAGTTCACAATCAAACGGATTTCCCTTTGGAGCTGCGTTTTCAACGTGGTCAACAAAAAGAAACTGAGTATGCTTCTGTTCTTCTGAATGCCGGGGATACAATTGATGATACCATGGCCACATTTGATGCCATTAGTCTCTCTGGTGAACAAAGAAAAGCTTTAATGTCACTAAGTATTGGTAAGGTTGGATCATAACGTTCCAGAAAAGTTCTTTTTTATTTCAATTCTTCTTGACAAAAAATGATAACCTTAGATGGGTTCACAAAAGTTTGGATTATCTCACCAATCAAATTAAAAAAGTAACACCCGTCCTTCCAAAATAATTAGTAAAGAATCAATGTTATGCAATAATGTGAACAACAACAACATCCAAGCCTTAGACCCAAAAGATTTTGGGGTGGGCTAACATGAATCAATACATGATATTGGAGGCAAAAGTAAATGAAAGATAAGAAAGATAAGGTATGATAAAAAAGATAAGATAAATATAAGATAAAGATAAAAATGATAAGATGAAAAGGATAAAAAGAATATATATAAAATAAAAAGCTTTTAATATTTTACATAACTGATCACTACTACTCCCTCCGTCCCGCTAAGATTGTCTCATTTTTCCTTTTGGGAAATCCCACTAAGATGGTCTCATACCAAATTTGGTAACGTTTGTGTGACTCTACTTCATTTATACTTTAGCTTTACTTTATGAATTCAATATAACCACATAAACTCACTTTTCTTAATAATCGTGTCACCCCCTCGTGTCCCAATGTTAGTGGGACGGAGGTAGTAGCTTTTAAAATGATACACTTATTTAAAAAGCTTAAGAAAGTTTTAGATGTGCATGTGGAATTACTACCAATATTTTACATAGCTGATCACGTACTAGCTTTTAAAATGATACACTTAAGAAATTACATTGTAGATGAAATTGCATTCCCTAATGCTGCAGGGTGCTAATTTCTAGAGCACACTGCTGAAAATTGGGATGCCTTTTTGCATTTGCCTTTCACCTGGCCAATTTTTGGCATGCAAATGTTCGATTCGATGGGACCTTTCATATTTTTTTTAATCGCAGGTAATTTCTTACTCTCTTTTAGACCAAGCATCATAGATGAGATAACAAACATTAAGGTTTCAACAGTCCACTGGTCAAGTGATCTCAAAGGGAGGAAGCCTGTCCATTTATCAGGATTGTTTGATAAATTAAGTTACCAAGTCCGGAAGGCATTTGCTGTTAAATCACTGAAATATTCCTTCAGTACTGCATATTGTGATATAGAGCTGGAAGATGGGCGTGCTGCTAAGATACACTTCCTGATTCACAGCATTGGGAAGGATGTGCCTCTTACACACCCAGATACCTTTGGATATGTACATGTCGATAAGAGTTCTTCAATTTCACTGCAAGAGCAGAAAGAAATCTTTCTTATTCCTACTGTTTGTGTTTCCAACTTATTACAAACCGAGATTCATGTGGCTTTGAACGAGAAAGGTATTAGAAATTTCATTTAAAAGTAAGTTTTAGTTTACTGATTCTAACTGTAGGATGCCAACTTAGTGCAGATCCTCATTCAACTGCGGGCAGTGACAGTATATGGAACACTGCGACTATTACCTCAGGATCCTTTGTCAATTTATATGCTGACCCTGCGTTTAAATATTTTTCTGTCACTTTGACTGCTTTTGGTTCAAGTTGTAAACCAATTGATAGCGCTGACTGGGTGAAAAGGTTACAGAAACAAAAAAGTACTCTCCCACATCTAGACATTGAATTAGACTTTTGCAATAAAAAGTATTTTGCGTTGCTTAGACTGTCTCGGGGACACCTGGGAAAACTAGAGGTAGATATCCTGGATTAATATTTAAGTCATTAACAGTTTAACACAAGCCTCTAGCTACAAGTTCTAATCTTTTATATGCTTACACTTCACAGGCTGCTATCTTTACTTCATATACTTTGGAAAATGATATGGCTTTTCCTTTGTTTTGCTTCCCAGCAAATCAGAAGCCTATGTCTAGGTAAATTATAATTTTGTCAGATTAATGGAAATTTTTTTCTTATTGACCTCAGTACATTTCTGTGCAGGGATGTTGTCCTAAAACATGGTTCTGAATTTCCTCCAGAGCTAGGTTCATATCTTCCTCCTAAATCTAGGAGGTCCTTGTTTTTTAAGTAAATACCTTTACCTTCAATAGCTAGTTTTTGTTTCTTGCCGACTTCTTACTGGCATGCCAAGTTTTGGTAAGCCTTTCCATTAGTTTCACCTCATTCACTTTCTCCTCTTGTAAATCCCAGATGCCACAAGGTGCGCTTCACAATGACAGATCAAAACAACACATCTGATGCACTACTGGACTTGGATGCTTTGTCAGGCCTTACAGAGGTGGACCTTGAACTAGACGGGAAATCCGGGCTTAAGCATTTAATAAAGTTAGGAGTATCTTTAAAGCCATATACTAGTAAAGGACTCCCTTCTCAAATGGTACTGGTGAACCCACGATACGTTGTAGTGAATGAATCGAATGAGGTTATCTATGTCCGTCAATGTTATTTGGAGGTTTGTTTTTTGCATTTGTAGACCAAAATTTTCATTTTAAAATGCTATGATAGAACTCTATTACTAAATAATGCCAATACTACAGGAAGATGGCATCGAAGAAACAATCATTACTCTCAACAGTAAACAAAGAGTGGCCATAACATTGAGAAGGGGGGTACATAAAAAGAGAGAAACTACTGTTTTTGAGAATTTTCTCAAAAAGCACCAAAAGTCTCACGATGATTTGTCATTTATTCAGTTCCGACTGAATGAACCTGGATTAAGTTGGTCAGGACCAGTATGCATTGCTTCGCTTGGTCGATTTTTCCTTAAGTTCAGAAGATCTTTGGAATCTCTGGCCAGTCAATCAGATCATTCAACATGTTATGACTCCAATATACATGGATTTGCTTCTGTTTATGTTGTTGAAGAAGGCTCTAGCCTTGTTTTACACTTTTACCAGCATCCAAATTTAGACCCTCCTTACAGGATTGAGAACTGCTTGCATGACACTGCAATTACATATTACCAAAAGGTTAGAAATCAAATTTCCCAATCACGATAATGTTTTTTGTTCTGTATTTGAATTTTAATTCGTGTGTTGCACCCTTTGGTGTAATTTTCATTGTTTCAGGGTTCACTGGTGCAGGAGATTCTGGGATCTGGAAGTAGCATTAGTTACGTTTGGGATGACTTGACTCTTCCTCATAAGCTAGTTATCCAAATTGGTGGTACTAATTTCTGCCTTAATATGATTCTTGCTTTAGACATTTCTCATGATAAAATTATTGGAAATTTGGAATTCTACTTTTGGTTCATATGTCGATACATGTTAGCCGACCCCAAGCTCTTTGGTCTCGGATGTTGTTGTTGTTGAGTATACTGGTAATTCCACTTATAATCTTTTGCTATCAAAGTTACAAAATGTTATTCCGGGTCTTACCACGGTCTTAAATTGTCCATGCTTTTTCTTGAATCATTACTTAGCTTACTTATAGCTATCTTGAGAGAATTTGTTTCTGTATTGCTATTCTGAATCTAGATTCTGATAGCTGTAACAGTGGGCCTATGTGATAGTTAGTGAATGAAATCTCTTTACCTATCCAGAAAAACTGATGCTTCATTCACTGGAAACTTTTTCCTGTGGCTATTTTGTCAATTTCCCATAAGGACATTAAATGTGTTCTTGTAAAATTATAACTATTTTCCATGTTTCATATTGTTGTGATTTGAAAAGGCTCCTGTTTGTGATGTGTACGCTAGATTCGTTGGCATCCTGGCACATTAAAGCTTTTTAAAGGAATTAGGTTGCATCAAATCCCAAATTTCCTCTTGCAGATGTGCACCTATTGCGTGAAATAAGCTTAGATAAGGTGCGTGAATGGAAAAAAGTTTACAGGACCAAGCAACAGAGAGGATTTGGGTTCCATTTACCATTAGAGAAGCAACCTGAAAATGAGAGAAGTGGCTATAGCCAATCCAGTGGTAGAGAGATGGTAAATTTAGGTTACGAAGTGTATACAGATGGATTGACTCGTGTCTTGAAATTTTCTGAGTTTGCTGATAGACGCAGAGGGGATACTTTATTCAATTCTAGAACAAAGATGCAGCTAATAGTGTCAAATTTGGCAATTCAGTTACTTGAGTGTGCAAGACAGGTCAGTCTCTGATGCTGTGCCCCCCATCCCTCTCTCCCCCCAGGGGCAAGAAATCAAGTCTCCACTACTAATTTCAAGAGTCAGTTTATATTGGTAGTAGTTTCATTTTTTATTTGACCAAACTAAATGCATAAATACATGCTGGCAAAAAACTAGTACAATAGTGTTGAATCTTGAGTTCCTGCCTGTTACTGCTATTAGTGTGTCCTTTACTCCTTAGGCTATTTAGGGTGTAGATACTCTCCCAAACTATTGAAATTACTTAGAATACGAAGTAGCTAACTATTGAATTACTATCACTAATACAATTCTACCATAACTGTCAAACTAAACAATAAGAGTTCTAAATTTCTAATCAATATTGATATCATGCAGTGCACTGATAGCCATGTAGGCAAATAGCCATGTCCTAGAATATTTACGTATTACATTGTGAAGGCTAGCGTTTGATAAATATGTTTTCTTGGCATCGCCTTTTCAGTGAGAAGCATAAATATAGTACATATATTGATACCTTGCATTAGAAGTGGTTGCCCAAACGATTAAATTTAAAATGTCCAGAAGAATGCCATCATATTATGAGAGCTGAAAAGATATTTGGAATAGGATGATAGGAAACATGAGAGTAACATGATGAGAGAAGCCCCCTAAGGGTGTGTTTGGTTTAAAGGAAGGGAGGAGGTGAATCAAGTGAAATTAGCATGCCCGCTTAGATTCCTCAAATAACAAAAGAAGGGAAACGGAGAGACAACTTGAAAATCCCATCCCCACCACCTCCATTTTTTGTAGCATTTTCTCACCTTTCCTCTCTAAAATCAAAATACCACAAACCAAACAAACCATAAATGACAAAGGTTTTCAATAGAAAATAAGATTAGATTTAGTTTACTGGTCGTGATTTGTGAATGACTAATATGTATGTGAATTTGAATATACAAGTCCAGAATGTCAAGACTAAACCCCGTTTTTATTTCAAAGACAATAGAGGAACACATTTCCGTACCCAGTTCACCATTCATATTAGTTTTTAAATACGGTTGATAAAGACTCACATCTCCTATCATTCTCTAATTGCTTTTGGTAATTTGTAGACATGAACTTCACCTAATTCTTCTGTCTAATTTAATGTACCAAAAAGGAAATGAGTGAAGTTAACAAGGATGAACCATCAATCTACACTCCTATTCTTGCTGTGAGACTTGAAAGCATCAGTTTGAATTCTGTGTTTACTGACCATCACAAGTTTAACCAGATAAGGGTACAGGTAGGGTATTTATCTTTTTTTTTAAATAAACTCCACTATTTATCCCTGATGCATTCTAGATTATTGTTTTTCTAGAGCACAATTCAGTTCGTCTAATTTCTTGATACTTAATCATGTTTCAGGCTTTAAGTGTGGATCAGAAGTGGCATGGAGCTCCTTTTGCAGCCATGCTTCGTAGGAACCAGTTAGAAGATTGCGACAAAACTGACAGTGTACTCCAAGTAGAACTTGTTCTAGTTTCATCCAATTCCAAAGTTAAACAAGTCAAGTACTTATCAATTGTTCTGCAGGTAATTCCCAATACATGTTTATTACTTTTTATCTTTTTATACATTTACAAACTGTGGCTATGTTGTATAGAGCAAAGGTCATTAAAATTGTAACTTTTTAAAAATCGAATCATTAAATTGAATCACGAGTTGTAAGTTTTTTTATTTTATGTAACATAATAAATAAATAGCTTATAATTACGAAAAGGGTAATTCACAAATTAACATTAATATGTCAAACCATAAGATAAAATCATCCATGTATATTTTAAATATAGCTAACAAAACAGATAATAACAGAGATCACATGACCAAAGCGATAAGTATTTTACATTTTCACATAAGCTCATTAAAATTAATTTCCCTATTATTAGCACACCAATTTTCTACATATGATTGCTTCCAGAAAAGCACAAACTATTGTGTAATTTAAGTGCGTAAGATCGAACTATTGTTCTTAAAGCGCAAACTGATTCTCTTGGTACATTTAGACCCTATAAGACATGCCATGTTTCATAATGTGCACGTGGCTTTAAAAAATCAATATTGTACTCATTGATGTTCAATAATATGTGCTATGTAAGTGGGAAACAACAATGATGATGACTTTAGATTTGTATGTCATTATTCCTTAATAGCAAGGGAAAATGGTATCTGGTGTAAAATTTTGCCACTCTGCTTTTTGCATGAGTTTGTACTTTGTAGTGTTAACTAAATTTTGAAAATTTGGCTTTATAAACTAATATCCTTCATGCCACTAATCCAACATAGTTGACACTAATTCAATCATCTTTTCCAGCCACTTGATTTCAAACTTGATGAGGAGACACTAATGAAGATTGCCCCTTTCTGGAGATCTTCTCTTAGCGATTCAAATACTCCAAGTCAACAGTATTATTTTGATCATTTTGAGATTCACCCTATCAAGGTTTTATGCATTACTTGTTTTCAGTGCGTTCTAAAAATCGCTAGACGCTTAGCCACTAGTCGGGCGCCTAGCCAGTGCTTTGCACCTAGGCACTAGTCAGGGTGTAAAAATACATTCTTTTTATAAATAATCTTGTGTAGATGCGATAAATTATATTCTGTATACATGAACAATGTGCGTATAAACTTGTATGAATGATAGAACATAGTTGTCTTAGTTTAACATTGGTTTACTTGACATGCATATTAAAGGCTGATATTTCAGATAAAGCGTGATTCTAGGCGCCTGACTAATTGGATGAACGTTTTTTGGACCAAACAACGTATCCAAGCTAAATCAGGGCACTGGTGGCTGGTGCCTAGGCGAACTTTAGAGCAGAGCTTTATTTTTCATGTGAACCTGTATCCAACCCTTGCATCTAAAGAAAAAAATGCAGCTTTCTTACATTTGTTCTTTTGATCTTGAAGATTGTTGCTAGCTTTCTTCCAGGTGAAGCTTATGCTGGTTACAGCTCTGGCCAGGAGACACTGAGGACCTTAATTCATAGCGTGATAAAGGCCTGACAGTTATCTCATCTATCAAAATGATATTTTGTTCTGCATATGTGTTATTTACCCACTCTTTCTCACCCTTTATACAGATGCCTGTTATTAAAAATATGACTGTGGAGCTCAATGGAGTACTTGTTACACATGTACTGTTAACTTTGCGTGAATTATCAATTAAATGTGCACAACATTATTCTTGGTAAGTATATATTGCTCTTTGCTTTGTGCTTTTTTCGTCCTGTTACTGTTTTATATTGATACAATTTGACTGTCTAATTTATGTTTCTTTGGGATTGAAAATATAGACACCCTGACATATTGATGAAATGATGACAATGTCCAAAAATATATGGGTTGGGTAACAACCTTTAGAAACAAGAGTTAATCCATCATCAACGACCTCAAGGTTGACTATGTTGCTAAACTTGTTATTATGGGGGTATCTCGTATGTCCATTCAGTTCTGGACAATCCAACAAAGTAAATATACAAGAAGCTCTGGAACATATCTAAACTAATGTGTAATTTTACAAGGTAGGTGTAGCTTGGGTCAACTTCTAAATACTTGCTTCATCAACAAAGGAGCTTTGGCTTTCAATAACTACTGCTAATGTAAAAAAAACCTTCGAGACTTTAAGATATGTGGAATTAGGTACATACAGAACTCATAACAACCAACCCAAGGAACAGACTATTTGATAAAAACGCATCAATGCAAGTGAGGAGTTTCAAGTTAGGAAAGTATTAACTACAAAATCTTCCAATGTGAATCTGGGCTAAGAGAATGAAACAAATTAGGCAAAAAAATAGAATGTGCTCTTTCTCTTAACATGTCGACAGATAGGTTTTTCTCACTATTTTTCTACGAGAGGTTTTCTAATGCTAACAATTCTAGGTTTGGTGCCATGTTAGGATGAAATTGAAAGAAACACTCGAATGACCATATATATATCTACACTTCATGGGGAACATGCTCAAAAAATTTGAGCAAAAAATACCACTGGGAACCACCTCAAATTGAGGTGGCCGGACCACCCTCCTGTCCGGACTGGCCGGACAAGAACATTTGTGTGTGTGTATGTATGTATATATGAGTTTGGATCAAATAAAAAAAGGTCTTAAAGTGTAACATAAGAATTAATCTCAAACGTCCAAAGAGTCGATATGATGCACAACAAACCTTATCTAATGCACATTTTCAATATTTACGAAAATGCCACCGCATCTAGATGTTGGAAAGTGCATCAGATAAGGTTTATTCGAAAAGTACATTAGATAAGGGTTATTGTGCATCAGATTGACATTGGACGACTGAGATTACTTCTTATTTTACACGTTAAGGCTCCCTTTAATTTAAACCTTCTCTCTATATATATACATATATATATATGTGATGCGGTTCCAATGAGAACGATGCTTAACGTGAGAACGTGAGAACACTCACATTTAACCCAATGTGATACACAATAGAGCTCGTCTGATGCACATTTTGACTTTTCTCCAAACACGCCAATATAAATAATAACGATGTCATTTTGGTAAATAATCTAAATATTATGTTGAACGTGAAAAAGTGCATTAGGCTAGCCTCATTGTGCATCACATCGGGGTAAATGTGGTGTTCTCACGTTCTCATGTTAAGCCTTGTTCTCATTTGATCTTTAATCTATATATATATACTTCCTCTGTTCTTTTTAGTTGCAACATCCCCATTTTCATGCTTGTCAACGCACAACTTTGAGCATCATTATATTTAATTCTCTATTAGTAAAAAAAATAAAAATCAGATTATGAAAATTTGTAATGAGATGAATTCAACCATATTTTTCAAAATATAATTCTCATGCATTAATAAACAAAATGTAGTCAAAGTAGAGCATCTGAATAGTGTAAATTATCCACGTTGCAACTAAAAAGAAATGGAGGATAGTATATAATATATTGTGTATATATGTATATATTAATGACGACATTCTGAGGAGTTTGATACATGAATTGGTCTTCCAGTAGCATTAATTTCTTTTCTGTATCTTATGTTTTTATTATAGGTATGCAATGAGAGCAATTTATATTGCAAAAGGGAGCCCATTGCTTCCTCCAGCATTTGCTTCTATCTTTGATGACTTTGCTTCTTCCTCTCTAGATGTCTTTTTTGATCCTTCAACTGGTCATATCAATTTTCCTGGATTTACTATGGGTAAAACAAACCTGTCTTCCCTATCAGATTGACATTATTGTGTGATGATTATAGTATTTTAACATTGACGAAATTGTATACAATAATTATTAGTTGCTACTGTTTTTGAAATTACCTTTCAATATTCGTATTGTGTATTGACTGTGGAGACATGCATTAAACTTAAGGCAAAAGAGGAATAAGATTCTTTGCATGACCAGAGAATGACTAAAAACCTTTGCTTCCCTGTTCACATTTTGGAAAGAGTGAGAGTATTACCAGACTCTTTCAATTCTTCTTTTGAATTAAAAATTCATGTTCCTTAAAGGTACATTCAAACTCATCAGAAAGTGCATCAATGGTAGAGGGTTTTCCGGAACAAAACGATATTTGGGTGATCTTGGAAAAACTGTAAGTCACACACCCAACTTTACTGATATCTGTGTTTTAGTTTCTCATTATATGAAGCTATGCTTCTTTTGCAGTTGAAATCAGCTGGGTCAAATATCCTGTTTGCTGCTGTCACTGAAGTATCGGACTCAGTTCTAAAAGGAGCAGAAGCAAGTGGATTTAATGGAATGGTAAAACTCTTCAGTTTTTATTGTATGTGAAGCATCAAGGATCCCTTGGAAAATGCTAGGGAAAGAAAATAGGGAGGAAAAAGAGAGGAAATTGGAAGAAAAGAAAATTGGTGTTGGAAAACCAAAAAACACACTCAATAAATCATTTTTTGGGTATTGTTCAAACTCAATTTTCTAAAATGTTTCTATCATATAATGACCAAGAAATTTAAATACATGTAAGATTTTAAAAAGCTGTACTCAATTTGTTTTCCTTTATAGTTTACTAGCCTCCTAGGTAACATCAAACATTTTCCTTAATAGGTTTTATACCTTTTCCAAACATAGCCTAATTTTATTTGTCATAGAAGTTAAATAAATGGGTGGAATAGGAATATACCCTACTATCCCTTGGCATTTAAAAGGGAAAAAAAGATTATAAGAAAAGGAAAAGCGAAGAAACTGAAGTTGATTAGGAGGTGGGTGGGAATGTGTGATCGAGCCCAGATGAGAAAATTAAATCCAGTCACGATTTGTCGCAGGTGATTGGGTTTCACCAAGGAATACTGAAACTGGCAATGGAGCCTTCTGTATTGAGCACTGCTTTTATTGAAGGGGGTCCTGATAGAAAAATTGGACTTGACCGAAGTCCTGGTGTTGATGAGGTGAGTCACTCAGCATCAGTAATGTACTTGATTTTCAGTTTCCATTGAATACTTTTTATTATATGACAAGCAGTTAGTGTTTCATTACTCCACGTGTTAAAATAAGTGTCGGCTTAACTCAATTCCAAAAGAACTCTCTTGTCCAACACTTATCAAGGGGTTCATTCTTTCATATTTAGCTGATGTGGGGCACTTTGAAATGTCAAGCGTCTATTTTCTCGTGTCCTCTTTTTTAGTCGGTTTATCCCTAGTTTGTCCATGATTGCTCTGACCCTGTCTATAAATTGTTTTGATGTATGTGCCCAATGCAGCTATACATTGAAGGTTATCTGCAAGCCATGTTAGACACGATATACAAACAAGAATATCTAAGTGTGAGAGTCCTGGAAACCCAGGTATTTATATTCAGATTTCATGATTATAATTATATACTCTCTCTGTCCCATTTTACTTGTCTTACTTTCCTTTTTGGGTTGTCCCAAGATAAGTCTCACATTTTTTTGGAAAGAAAGGTGTGGTCTACACATAAAATGGGACGGAGGTAGTAATAAATAATATTTATATGTGATTTCAAGCACATTGTACTATGTAAACAGGTCATCCTGAAGAACCTACCTCCTAACAGTTCTCTAATAGATGAAATTGTGGAGCGTGTAAAGGGGTTTCTTGTGAGCAAGGGATTGTTGAAGGGAGGTTCTTCAAAAGCTTCTCATCCTTTACGTCATATTAGAGGGGAACGTGTAAGTACACGCCTGTGTCCGATGGTCCGTAAGTTCCAAAGTTGGGCTCATTCTCGGTCCCTTCCGAGGATGAGAACAAGCCCCGACCTTTGCCGAAGAAGCGGTCGGTCAATCAGACAAGTCGAGCGGGACCCATGACATAGTATTTTTTAGCAGAACATTCCACTTTTGTCCTATGACTACAATGCCATTTTTCAGTGTCCATGACTTTTATATTCTTCACTTTTACTGCACGGGTATAATTTTTTGTCACTTTTGGCTCTCTAAATCTATTATATGCTCTGAAGAATCAACTGCCAATTGTACAATTATTGGCTGGATGAGTGAGCTCGCAAGAAATTCATAACCGTGCACCAAAAGTTGGAAGAATGAAAGTCGGAGCACAAGTGAAAATGACCAAAATGGAATATTTTTATTTCTAGCATGACCACTTTGTTTTACGACAGTGTTACGATTAGCTTGGTCTATTTTGATAACAGGAATGGAGAATCGGTCCGACAGTGCTGACACTGTGTGAACATCTATTCGTGAGTTTTGCAATCCGGATGCTGCGGAGACAGGCTAATAAGGTGATCAAGGCTAATGTCAAGTGGAAGGGGAAACCAGATGACAAGAAGGAAGCAGCTATTGTTAGTGGCCATGGTAGCGGAGAAGGGAAGAAGGGGGGAAGTTTCATATGGAGATGGGGCATAGGAAATTTTGTAATATCAGGGATAGTTGCATATATTGATGGACGCTTATGTCGACGCATACCTAACCCCATTGCAAGAAGGATTGTGAGTGGATTTCTTCTCAGCTTTCTTGATAAAAGTGAAAACCACTGAAAGTCCTTAAATATTTGGAGTTGCTTTTTTCTTCTTCTTTGTAATTTGTGAACAAAGAACTGGTGCTTGTGCAATACGTAAATATTTCATTTTTGAAGAAAATTCTCAGCGCGTTTCAAGAACGTCTTGGTAGAAAAGAAAATACTTGTAACTTTTTGGGTTGTCTGATAAGTAAATTAACATTTCCAAAATAGCAGTTTCACTTATGTCATTTATGATTCACGCATTCAATTTCGAGCAAGAGTGAACCACTGGAGCTAGAGCGAAAGGGAGTCTTCACACGGAAATTGTCACTGCTTATGGATCCGAACCTTTTTTTTCAATCAAGGAAACCTCAGAACCAGAAGTCGTAGAAGTGCTTCGGTGCTAGGGCAATACTTGATCAACCCGAATCGAAAATATGGACAAAAACCCAAAGAAATATGGATGAAATATGGATGACGGGTGGATTGAATTATTGAAATATGGATGACGGGTGGATTGAAATATGGATGAACACTCATCCAACCCATCATACAATGGCGGGAGAGGATTGGGGAGGAGAGGAGTGGGGATTGAATTAGGGTTGTGTTCATTCATTCATATTAAGGCATGGGTCATTTTTTCTTAGTTAGGAGCAGATGGATTATACTTTAAAAAAAATCAAGGCATTTTAGAATGTTCAATTGTCATTGAGTTAATTTTCTATACCAAATAAAACTGGTTCATTTCCCACCATAAGCTCCACTTAGTCATAGGGGAAAAGACTCCAATAGGAGTAAAACATGGGCTTGGTATACGGATAAGACCTACTTTTTAACCTTAAATAGGACTTATTTGCATCTGGACGGACAAAAATAACCCCAACCCCCTCACTCAATCGTGATCCACCGACTTCGCAGAACACCGAGAGCTTCAGTCGTCTTCAGCCCATTCCAATGGTTGTCGAAGCTCGGATAATCTTCAACAAAAAGCTCCAATCGATTTTCTTCATCAATTTCAAAGACTCATTCGTCGAAGCTCGGATTACATTGGCAAAGCTCAAAGACTCATTCGTCGAAATTAATATCAGGCTACAATGTCATTCAAACCAATTCCGAATGATTTCGGGCGAAATTCCGACCAATTTAGTTTCTTTCAACATATCTTCTGCGCAAAAACATACATTTCTCCTTTTTCAGTTTCTTTATGTCCTGCTACAGTGCTACGTCAAAACATGTTAAAATGGTGAAATAATGACACTATGTATGTCACTATACTTTAAATATTATCAAAATAAAGTGAAAATCATCAGAATGTCTTAACAATGTTAATGTTGTAGCAATGTCAATAAAAAACAATGTCAATGATAATGTCATAAGAATGTCAATGACAATGTCATAAGAATGTTAATAAAAAACAATGTCATAAGAATGTTAATGACAATGTCATAAGAATGTCAATGACAATGTCATAAGAATGTCAATGACTATGTCATAAGAATGTCAATAAAAAACAATGTCAATGACAATGTCATAAGAATGTCAATGACAATGTCATAAGAATGTTAATGACAATGTCATAAGAATGTCATACGAATGTCAATGACAATAAAATACATTCCTTATTTCTTTGCTTTCAGTTTGTTCGTATGTACAGAGCACTATCAAATACTTTGACGATGTTGATATCATTTATCAATACTAAAAACAATGTCACAATTTTGGGGATAGGAAAATCGGTCCCAGATTTAAAAGAGTAGAAGAGAAGGAGAAAAAGAAGAAGAAGAAAAGGACGGGGAGGAAGAATAAGGAGGAGGAGGAGAGGAGAGGAGAAGAGAGAACGCAGGTTACGCAACAAGGGCCTTCAGCCGCACTGCCGCACCTCCACACAGCCACACCAAAAATACTACCGCACCACCGCAACACCATTTTAGCTCAGCACCTCCATTATTTTGACGGTGATCTGCCTTGCTTAGCTGTGGAGGAAGGAGAGAGATGATTAGGCGAGGCTATTGCCGAGACATAGCTGTGGTGCGTTAGGAAAGGCCATACGGGAAAACAGGGGCAATTTTGGAAACACGGAAAAATTTGATCTTATTTAGGAGTTAAAAAAGTCAAGGTCTTATTTAATTACATACGGGAAGTTAAGCTCCTATTTAGCACCATTTCTCCTAGTCATATGTATTTGGTATTTTGGTATGGTACTCCTTAATATTTTTGTAACTCTTTCGTGGGACATTTCTAAAAAATATAGTCATACTTTTTTCTTAAAACCTTTTTTTAAATTGATTAAATTACTTCAAGAAAAACTAAAATAACATCTCTGCAGTCATACTTTCAACTTTATACACAAACTAAATGAATAGATACTCATACAAGCATTAGCCATCAAGGCATTAACGCCATTAAGGAATGCCATATAGAGTTTGGTGTAGATCTCAAAGATGATCATGCTTCAAACACTCATGCTTCAAACATCTCTGCAGTCATGCTTTCAACTTTATACACAAACTAAATGAATAGATACTCATACAAGCATTAGCCATCAAGGCATTAACGCCATTAAGGAATGCCATATAGAGTTTGGTGTAGATCTCAAAGATGATCATGCTTCAAACACTCATGCTTCAAACATCTCTGCAGTCATACTTTCAACTTTATACACAAACTAAATGAATAGATACTCATACAAGCATTAGCCATCAAGACATTAACGCCATTAAGGAATGCCATATAGAGTTTGGTGTAGATCTCAAAGATGATCATGCTTCAAACACTCATGCAGCTGAAATGATTGAATGGGCTAAGTAAATATGTAAAAAGTATACTCCCTCCGTCCCAGATTTTACTTCCGTTTTGACTGGGCACTTTGTTTAAGAAAAAACACTGTTTTCCCTTGACTTTCCACTTCTGCCCCTGATTTTATTACCGCACACTTGAAGGGAAAAAAGAAAGGGATGGGGCGTTCTGCAAGCTACAGTGATGCTAAGTGAACAGTAAAATGAAAAGTTGCCTTTTTGGGCTTACATGTATTCTGGCGGGAGTTTTTATCCATTCCCTCCAACTTAAAAATTTTAAACATGTCAAAGTTGATAAAGCTCTATATAAACCTACACATACATAGTCGTACATCATCACAAATACAACATGGAAGTTTCAGAAAATGTAGAAACAAGACAAAAAAAAAGGCTCTCCAACCAAGCAAAGCAGAAAATCCTGCAAGCTCTTCTCATTAATTCCATAGATGGTAAGCTTTTCAAAGGACTGAAATCTGCATTAGCTGAAGAATATAAAGTGTCAGTAAGGTACATCACAAGTATTTGGATACAAGTAAGGAAATCACAAAGGGATGGTGTACCTATCAATGTTGACAGACAGTTTGCTGCAAAAAGTGGTAGGAAACCTTTACCACTACCTACACTTGACTTTAAGGAAATAGATCTTCACAAAAGGCAGACCATAAGGAGTCTGGCATCTGCTATTGGTTATCCCAAAACATGCGTGCACAGACTCATACGCCAAGGTAAAATTAAAGTACACACAAATTCTATCAAACCTTTTTTGACTGAGTCAAATATGACTAAGAGACTTGAATGGGTCATTTCACACATTGTCCCAGACTCACTCACAACTCATCCACTATTTGAACCCATGTTCAACACTGTCCATGTGGATGAGAAGTGGTTTTACATCACTAAACCATCACAGAGATATTATCTCACTCCAAGTGAACAAGAGCCACACAGAACATGCAAGTCCAAGAGATTTATCACAAAAGTAATGTTTTTGTGTGCTGTGGCTAGACCAATATTTTCAGAAGACTCAGAGGTCTTATTTGATGGGAAGATAGGTATTTTCCCATTCACAGAATTGAAGGCAGCAAAAAGGAATAGCAAAAACAGAACAGTTGGCACAATAGAGGAAAAGGCAATTGAGAGTGTCACTAAAAGTGTATACAGACAATGTTTACTCAGACAAGTGCTCCCCGCCATCAAAGCCAAGTGGCCACTTCAGGCATCCGGGGATATTTACATTCAACAAGACAATGCCAAATCACATATACAGCCTAATGACAGTGAGTTCATGAAAGAGGCTACTACTGAAGGCTTTAACATCAAACTATCATGTCAACCTCCCAATAGTCCTGATCTAAATGTTCTAGACCTAGGGTTTTTTAGATCAATTCAGTCCCTACAACAAGCAACACCAAGTACAACAGTTTCAGAGTTAGTGGGAGGGGTGACCAAAGCATTTGAGGACTTGAGTCCCTATACTTTGAACAAGGTTTGGCTATCATTGCAGATGTGTATGAAGGAGATTTTAACTGCTAAAGGTAACAACAACTACAGATTACCTCACATTGGAAAGGATATGTTACATGCTAATGGGGAACTACCTATATCCCTCTCTGCAGACACTACAACAGTGAGGGAAGTGATGGACTTGTTACATGGTAATGGGGAAGTACCTATCTCAAATGCAGCAGACACTACAAGAGGCAGGGAAGTGATGGACTTGTTAAATGGTAATGGGGAAGTACCCATCTCAAATGCAGCAGACACTACAACAGGCAGGGAAGTGATGGACTTGACAATGAGCACCCAGGCTTAACTAGTTACTGGCTGTAGGGTTTTTGGGTTTTGGGTAAAGACAGTGCTAAGGTATATTGGCTACTGCATTTTGGGTTTTTGGGTTTTGGGCATAGACAGGGTGTCTTGGTTTTTTTGGTAGTGGGTTTTTGGTTTTGTGATTTTGGGCTTTGGGGTACACATACAAGATATGTACACAAACAAGACACTGTCAATATATATAAATGCAACTTGGCTTATTTGTTGTCAGTATTAGGCCACTGTCATCACAGTAAACGATACACACTATTAGGCTTTTAGTCAACTTCTAAACTGCCCCTAATTAGCTCATCAGTTATAAGGCCCAATTAAAACATCATTTAGGCTTAGAGGCAGTTAGGTCAACATCATATAAGCATACAAGGCAGCATGTAACATTCAACAATAGGCTTCAGTCAACAGCAAAACCCCCTCCCTTATTAGCCCATCAGTTAGGGCCAATTAGAACATCATTTAGGCTTAGAGGCAGTTAGGTCAACATCATATAAGCATACAAGGCAGCATGTAACATTCAACAATAGGCTTCAGTCAACAGCAAAAACCCCTCCCTTATTAGCCCATCAGTTAGGGCCAATTAGAACATCATTTAGGCTTAGAGGCAGTTAGGTCAACATCATATAAGCATACAAGGCAGCAGGTAACATTCAATAATAGGCTTCAGTCAACAGCAAAAACCCCTCCCTAATTAGCCCATCAGTTAGGGCCAATTAGAACATCATTTAGGCTTAGAGGCAGTTAGGTCAACATCATATAAGCACACAAGGCAGCAGGTGACATTCAACAATAGGCATCAGTCAACAGCAAAAACCCCTCCCTAATTAGCCCATCAGTTAGGGCCAATTAGAACATCATTTAGGTTTAGAGGCAGTTAGGTCAACATCATATAAGCACACAAGGCAGCAGGTAACATTCAACAATAGGCATCAGTCAACAGCAAAAACCCCTCCCTAATTAGCCCATCAGTTAGGGCCAATTAGAACATCATTTAGGTTTAGAGGCAGTTAGGTCAACATCATATAAGCACACAAGGCAGCAGGTAACATTCAACAATAGGCATCAGTCAACAGCAACACTCAAGCAATCAGACCATAAATTAGGGCCCAAAAACAGTATAATGTCTTCATCAATGTGCCCAGTCAAAACGGAAGTAAATTCAGAGACAGGGGGAGTAACATACACACCATGAAGTAGGCATACAATACATCAATTTTAGGCACCACTCATATATGAATACACACACATATATACATGCATGCAACAAGAGGAACTTATCACCTTGTTTTTTTGTAACCATGGTCCAATCTTTGTTTAGGCAGCCACATTGAAACCAAATGGTCCAATCTTTCTTGAACTCTAGGGTCCGGGTGAGCATGAGCGTGCACAGGAAGAAGATACCCCACATTTTTTGTATCCACTGGCCGAAGGTAGATGTCAATGATATTTTCATTGGAGGCTTCACCTCTTCGGTCCAAATGAATCGCAGGAACAGTCAAAGAACTAGACTCCTCCTTTTGTCCTAAGAGGCATTGCTCAGATCTCAACCGTTTTCGTCCTTTCATTCCTTCTTCATTCTCAGAAACGAGGACCAACTGAACCTCAGAATCTGGGACAAATTCCGGCAACATCTCAGACTCAGGGACAAATCCGGCTAAGATCTCAGCCTCACGGACTAAATCGGCCCATCCGGAAGAATCCTCTGAGTCCTCAACCACCACACCAGCCAAATCAGCGTGCATGCACAAATCAGATGAACTTTCGGCCATTATTGGCTTTGAAGTTTTAGGTGGGTGTGTGGGTGGGATGACTGCAGATGAATCGACAACGATGGAGTAGAGTTTTCTAGATGGGGATGGAAGGAGTCATGAAAGAACGGAGAGAGAGTGGTTGCGAGAAAAGAGATGAATACAGATGAAGTAATAATGACAAATGGAGAGAAGGTAGAGTAAATGGAGTCGGTAGATGGGTTGGGTGGGATAATAATTGGGGTAGATGTGTGAGGGTAATGGGGTAATTTTAACTTAAAAAATTTCCTAATATAGAAAGTGGAAGTTTTTTTTGGGACAGCCCAAAAAGGAAAGTTGGAAGTAAATTCTGGGACGGAGGGAGTACTAAAGTATTATTACCTCCGTCCCACTATGATTGTCCCATTTTACCTTATCGGTCCATTCCGATAAGATTGTCTCATACCAAATTTGGTAAAATTTGTGTGGCTCTAAATCATTCTTATCTTATTCTTACTTTAACAATTCAATATCAACCGCATAAATCACTTTTTATTAAATTGCGTGTCACTCCTTTTTGTCCCATTGTTAGCGGGGCTGAGGGAGTAATATACATTATACATTAGGAGAACATATGTTTAAGGTGCTAGATTCATAAAATTTTAAAGAATAGATATACAACAATGACTAATTCAAGGCAGAAGTTAAACAAGTAGTGATACGTAAAAGAACATGACTAATAAAGCGGACAAGTAAAAAACGGTTACCAAAAGCACTTGCGTCAAATGATAATGATAATGGATTTACTATATAACAAATCAATTAGCACCAAAAATGATAGTTCACACAGATCACTTTCTTGACAGAAAAAAGTCAGTACAAATTCTCACCACCTCAATGCATGTTAATTGAGAGCAGGTAGTACAATAATGTGTGACTCATCGTTTGTTACTGGAAAGCAAGCCAGTTGAAGAAAGAAGGCGCAGTGCTTGATTTGAATTGTTCAAAACAGCAGATGATCTTTGAACCTGCATCTTCCTTTTCTTCAAGAAATCCATCGACTTCTCTATGCACTGAGGAGGCGGTATCTCTTTCATCATAATAACATGTTTTAGCCTGCATAGTAAATCCACAAACGCAACTATAACTACATGTGTTTGTATCAAAACCAAACTTAAGTGGAGGAAAAAACTAGTACAGACTCACCCGGATCTCTTTGGCCTTTTCTTTTCTGAAGCAGGCCTTTTTTGAGGTGCCTCTTCTTCTTCTGAGTCCGATATGAAAACTTTTCTGAAAAAAAAAAGAAGAAAATAAATTGCACTCTATCAACTACTATTTTGGAAATGAGCTTCTCTAACAAACGCTTTGAAGGAAAAAAATTATAAACTCACTTTTCCCGAGCCACCAGCAGTTGTACAATGCTATCGGGCAGCATTCCTCCTCTGGTAGTAGCATCTTCAGGCTCCTCGGGAGGCACTTCAGATTCCGTTGCATCCTTATTGCTTTTTTTGTTATGTTTAGGCCGTGGAGTTAACTTCTCAGCCCATTTTCTGCGGCGTTCTTTTGCTTCACGAACGACTCTGTAAAATCGTGATTATTTTATGATGATACTACGTATAAAGTAAATTTGATCACCTTGTAAGCAATTTTGGCAAAGTTTCATCATGATGCATAACACTTGATAATAAGTAAAGTTGTCACCTTATACAAAATTATATCATCATTATGCTAAAAATGCAAGTTTCGTAAGATTGCCTTCAAGGCTTTAAGTAATAAACTTGTCTCATGAAAAATGAGAATACAGGAACATAAAATAATCTTATGTGTTTGTTTAAGTTAGTTTCTGTCTTTGTGAGGATGTAATTTTAATATGTTCCATAGATAATCCACCCCCTACCCCCATTGAACTTTCCATGTAAATAAGTGGAAAGCTGACCTACCTTTGACCACTTAGCACTCATGCTCAATATGCGTTTGTTATGTTGGAAAGTAAAAAAATTCACTCAAGGCATCATAATTCATACGGAGTAACAAACACCCAAAAGCAAAATGGATGTTTAAACATAATCTGCCGATACTTACGTAAAAAAACAAGTTAATCTGCTTATCCAAACATTAATCCATTTTGTTCCGTGGGTTGATATGAGATTAAAAGGTCACATGAAATCCCAAACCAATCAAGATGGCTTCAAATTACCCAAACCAAAGGCTACTAAATGTAAAAGGAGTATCTTATCCACAGAAAAGTCTATTATGAAACACTAAATATGGGCAATTCAGAAATTGAAAACCTAGGTTTCTTGTAAATGATGCCATCAACTAACACTAACAAGTATCCAAAACCCTTCTACTAAACCCCAGCAACCTTGCCTAAGCCTTAAAAATGAAATATTTCTTAGATTTCAAATGTTTTCATTACTCAATCAGAATTCTCACTTAAATCAATTGAATGTGTAAAACTGTAGATCAATTGTTTACACAAAACAAAACAAAACAAAACAAAACAAAACAAAACAAAAATAAACAAAAACAAAGTCTTGCTATGCGTTACCAGAAAACCCGGATTGTATTCAGTATACAAGAAACCTCAATACTTGTAAATAAAAATGATGTCTTCTTATTCACATGAGGACTTTCGGAGAATAAGAGAAGTAATTAGGGATGTTAGTATAGTAAACCTGGACTTGTTATCTCTTTCCACTTTTCTGATTTGCTCGTCCTGCTCAATGCCCTGAATGGCAGTAAATTCCTCAGGGGCGTCGAGGTCGCTATCCTCTTCCCTTTCCGTCATCGCGATTTTCTTCTTCTGCTCCTCAGACTTGCAGGGTTTAGTGTTATCGTTACCTTCAGATATGTGATGGGCTGGGCAGGACCGGTCCAATTATAGTACCCGTGCATATTGTCATGACTCTCCTGAGAATAAGTTCGTGACAATATGCACGGAAAAAAGCATTTTGTGCATATATTTTTACACACGATTTAATTAAATATTAAAATAAAAGTACTTTGTAAAATTCATCATTTTTGAAAAATAAGAGTACAATAAGCTAATACCATAAAGTATAAGCTCATTAAATACATATTCAATGAAGAGTATATTAGGAAAAATCAATTGACACCATTCATTAGAGTTTACTCGGGTACTATTTATAAATTTTCAGGATTAAATTAAATTTAAAATTAAATACTATTCTGAAAAAGTGAGAACAATATGTGAGTGACATGAGGTTTAAGTGAGTAGAATAATTATTACAATTAATGAATAGTATTAGTTGAAAAAGAAATTGCTACTCATTAGTTAAATTAGAACTGAGATATGAGAGAGAAAACTATTCTGCTAAATACTCAACCAGTTTCTCTTACGCCTAAAAGAACTATATATATCACAGAACATTGTCCCACTCGATCAATTGTTAGTCGGATTAGCTTATACCTAAAAACACTACATATGAGAGAGAAAATTATCCCGCTCCATTCCCTCACTCAACTGTAGAGCTGTCAAACGGGTCAACCCGGCCCAACCCGACCCGTGACGGGTTATGGTCTATGTGGGTTGGGTCGGGCCAACCCGTTTAATGACGGGCCAGAATTTCTACAACCCTAACCCAACCCACCTAACCCGTGGGTTAAACGGGTTGGCCCGTGGGCCAATATGTAAAAAATATATATAACAAAAAAATTAAAAATAATTACCCGGAAGTATAAATTTATATTAGTAAGTAGTAACAAAGGAAATATAAAAAATCAAAATACTAAAAATTCAATACTTGTTAAGTTTAATTAAAAAATATTAAATACGGAGTACTAGTTACACGAGAATTTGAAAACTATAAGAGGGTATGCGACAAAAATACTCATTGTATAAAAATAAAGATCTACATAAACCATTTGATTAATTATTTTTAAATAATGACTACTAATTGTTAAATATTGTATCGAACTTCACATAAAATATATGTTTCGCCATTTTTAACTATTTTTAACTCATTGTATCAACATTTTATTTGAATATTTATTATTGAAATAAATATTGTTTTGCCATGGTTGTAATTTTTTATTTGTAATTATAATAATATTGGTAGTAAAAGGATAATATTTAAGATAATAAAATTTAAAACTATATTTTTGTATATTGGCCCGCGGGCCAACCCGCAACCCGGTGGGCCAACCCACTTAAACCCACAACCCGTGTGGGTTGACCCGCGAAACCCGCGAACTAAATGGGTCAGAAATTTTCAACCCTAACCCACCAATAAATGGGTTTAAACGGGTCAGCCCGCGGGTTTCGGCCCATTTTGACGGCTCTACTCAACTGTTAGCAACTTATCTTCTAATATCTAAAAGGAGTACATATGAAAGTGAAAACCCTTCCGCTCAATTATTAGCATTATTATCTTCTTGTACCTAAAACTCTTACATATAAGAGAGAAAGATCTCACGCTCAATTATTAACTGACTTACCTTATACCTAAAAGTACTACCTGTAACACCCCGCCCCGTAGGACCCGAGGTACTTACTCCAAACCTCTAGTACTATCCTCACAAACTACCACAAAATTAATCTCAAGTGTAACACTACATATGATAGGGAGAAATTGTTCTGCCAAATTATGGTCAGCTTATCTTATACTTAAATGAACTATATATGATAGAGAAAGTTCTTCCGCTCAATTGTTAGCTGGCTTATCTTACCTTGTACAAAAACACTACATATGAGAGAGAAAATTCACCTGCTCAATTGTTAGCAAGCTTATATTCTTAGCTTCTTATACCTAAAAGCAATACAAATGAGAGATAAAATTATTCCGCTCAATTGTTAGCCGACTTATCTTATACTTAAAAGAACTAAATATTAGAGAGAAAGTTATATCACTCAACTGTTAGTTAGATTATATTCTAATACTCCCTCCGTCCTGAAAAGGTTGGCCAAATTTCCTTTTTTGGATGTCCCAAAAAGATTTGTCATTTCCATTTAAAGTAAGTAATGTGTGGCTAAATATTATTCTCTCTCCTCTGCACAAATTTCAACCACGCATTTTTTACTTTATTAATCCACGTGAAAGTCAACTTTGGTCAACCTTTTCGGGACGGAGAGAGTACTTAAAAGCACTACATATGAGAGCAAATTCTCACTCTCGATCTCCCTACTCAACGGTTAGCAAACTTATCTTATAATAGCTAAAGACACTACATATGAGAGAGAAAGTTTTCCCGCTCAATTATTAGTATGTTTATCTTCTTATACCTAAAAACTCTTTCATATGAGAGAGAAAGTTCTCCCGTTCAATTGTTAGCCGGCTTACCTTATACCTAAATGTACTATATATATGAGAGAGAAATTCTCCCGCTCAATTGTTAGTTGACTTATCTCATACTTTAAATAACTACATATGAGACAAAGAAATTATCCCACTCATTATTATGAATAGTGTGAGTATTGTTTTCACAAGTTTATTTTGATATTTCTTCAGGTTTGGTTTGGCTACTTATTCTAGTTGGTAATTTACTATAGTGTTTCTTTCAAGGGTCATTACATAGTAAGAGATGTGCATTTTTTAGTTCAAATATTCTTCTGGATGCTAGATTGGGAATTATTTGATACCCTTTCGTAAGTCTATCTAACTTGCATGTACAAAATTGAAAGTCCACAATAATGACCAAATTGAAATTCAAGTATATTTATTTTTAATGAAATGTGATTCTTTAATATTCTCATTCTTTTTACTTGTAAAGGTGATTTGATTCACTGACAATAATAATAGTAATACTCTCTCGTCCCATTAAATTATTCCCTGTTTGACTTGGATCGAAGTTTAGAGCCCGTTTAGTAATCCTGTTTTTTGGCTTATCACGCTTATCGACCATTTTTTCATTAAACACGTATTTTTTGATTTCACGATCTGAATTGTGTAATAATAATGAGAAAAGTAAGGTTGGAGTTACTTTTCTGACTGTATTGGCTGAAGTTACCGTAGATGATCATTTTAGGTATTTTATTTAAGTTTTTCTTCATTTTCATAAATCAGCAAAATCAGCCACTCCGGTCATTTCTGCCATAACTTCATTAATTTCAACAGAATCAGCCGATTTAGACGATTTTGGTATTACCAAACGGGCTCTAAGAAAGTGAGAATAAAATGGAAAAATGATGTTGTGGTTGAGTAAGAAAAAGGTAAATGAATTTTAGCCACACCAACACTCCAAAGATCAATGGGAAGCTTATAATTATGAATAGTGTGAACTTTTATTCGCAAGTTTATTTTCATTTTTCTAAATTCAGTTCGATTTGGCTTCTTATTACCGTTGGTAATCTTCTACAATGCTTCTTTAATGGCCCGTTAAATATCAACAATACAATTTTTATTTTATTATTCTACGTGCAAGTCAATTTTGACCAAATTTTATGGAACGGGTGGAGTATATAAATATAAATAATTTTAAGCATAATTATTAAGGTTGTTAATAAATTATATTTTTATATATTCAATATTGATCCTCATATGAAAGACCACAAAAAATTATGAATTTTGGTATATTTTTTAGAAACATTGGAGCAAAAATGAAAAAGTTATAACACTTTAAACAAATTTAGAATTTTTTATAATTTGGGCCCACCAACTCCATTTCCCTTCGGACTGCTCTTCCTTTCCTTGATTCGGTAGCTTTGAAGTAAAAAGTGGCCACATGTCATTTTCAAAGCAAAAGAGGAATTGTGGAAAGATGGACACATATAATTAATGAAAGGTATAATTGTCTTTAGATGAGCTATCTCCTTTCTTATACTCCCTCCGTCCCGAAAACGTTGGCCAAAGTTGACTTTCACGTGAATTAATAAAGTAAAAACTGTGTGGTTGAAATTTGTGCAAAGGAGAGAGAATTAATTTTAGCCACATATTCCTTACTTTAAATGGAAATGACAAATCTTTTAGGGACATCCAAAAAAGGAAATTGGACCAACCTTTTCGAGACGGAGGGAGTAGATGATAGAAAAAATTCCCTTCAATTGTTACATGACTTATCTTACCTTATACTAAAAAACATTACATATGAGAGAGACAATTATCCTGGTCAAAGTTAGCAAGCTTATCTTTTTAGCTTCTTATTATAGCTAAAAGCAATACAAATGAAAGAGAAAAATATCCCGTTCAATTGTTGTTGTAGGCTTATCTTATCTTATATACTAAATAGAACAACATATGAAATAGAAATTTATCCCGCTCAATTGTTAGCAAGCTTATCTTCTAATACCTAAAAGCACTACATATGAGAGAAAAAATTCTTCCTCTTAGTTATTAGCAAGCTTATCTTCTTGTATCTAAAATCACTACATATGAGAGAGAACTTTATCTCATTGAATTGTTACTCGACTTACCTTATATCGAAAAACACTACATATTGCAGAGAGAATTCTCCCGCTCAATTGTTAGGTGACTTATCTTGTGCCTAATAGCATTATACTATCCACCATTCTTTTTTAGTTGTAACCTTCCTTTTCACGCTTACTAATACACAACTTTGACCATCATTATATTTAATTCCCTATTAGTAAAAAAAATTAAAAATCAAATTATGAAACTTTGTAATGAGACGAATTCAAAAATATTTTTCAAAAAAAAAAAACAATTCACATACAATAATAAATAAAAGGTAGTCAAAGTAGTGTACATGAAGAGTGTGTAAATTCCAATGTGCAACTAATATGATACGGAGAGAGTATGTAATGGAGGAAATTATTTCGCTCAATTGTTAGCCTTCTTAATTATGACCTAATCTTCTTATACCTAAAATTTTATAGGGGTGGGCATAAAACCCGAACCGAACCGGTATCGAACCATCCCGTAATGGTACTGAACCGAATACTGGGTATTTAAATGGTTCTATAGATTTTTGTCCCGTAACGAAACTGAACCGTTTGAAACGGGTACGGGACCGGTCCTAGATTTTGAGAACCGAAAAATACCGGACCGAACCGTTCGAAAATAATGCATTTGAATTTTTATAATTTATCTATGCCAATAGATCTCTTTTATAGACAAACAATTTTATAGCCCACATATGTATTCATGCGTTCCTGAACTAGCTAAATGTGTGTTTATATATATATATATATTGTTATTTTTCCTTTTTAGATAATCTATGTTATATTTTGATATGTATTGAAAGAATATTAAAAATTTAGAAATCATTAAGGATTATTCATTTCTAGTAATGTAGTGTACATGACTTTTTGTGGTATCATGTTTGCGCAATTTTACAACTTAATTAATATGGTTTAAATCTTAGCTCTCAAGGTTCAACTATAAATTAAATTAGATATTAATATGTAATATTTAACCTAAAATGAAGAAGAAGAACATTGAAGATTTCTATTATATTGAACAATTTGATGATATTCTTTTTTATATTTTCACATGAACTTAGTAAATTAAAGATGATATTTATCTCGTGCGTCATTGTTTTGCTATACTTTTTCTTAGTTGCGTTGCACTATTTGTGTATTTGTGAATTTTAGTACTACATATGCAATTTCTTGTATTTATATCAATATTTCATGTGAGTTGGTTTGTGTGAAGATATCTACCAATTGTAAGATTTGTTCAAAATTTTTAACATGTGTTTGGCATTGTACCGTACCGTTTTGTACCGTTCCGAAACGGCATAGTACCGAACGGTTCTATCCTTGAAACCAGACCGTACCATATCGTTAAAAACCTAGCAGATACATTACGGTTTTTACTAGTTTACCGGACCGTTCCAGACCGCGCCCACCCCTAAAATTTTATACATAAAAGCATTATATATGTGATAGAAAATTATCTCACTCAATTGTGAGACAGTTTATCATATAACTCAAAGCATTACATATAAGAGAGAAAATTTGGTCCCTCAATTGTAAACCGACTTATCTTATACGATAGTACTTCAAAGCACTCAATATGAGAGAGAAATTTATCTCGCTCAATTGTTAGCCGGCTTATCTTCTACCTAAAAATACTATATATGAGATAGAAAATTCTACTACATCTTTCACAAATGTGTAATGATTCACCCAATGACAATTTTATTTCTTCGTCTTCTACAACTTCATTACTTAATTACATAATTCCTTTTTAATTTACTTTCTCCCATTAGATTGTTAGCGTTTTGAGTATTTTTTTCATACCGGGTATATATATCTCTTCAATCGCAAGAGCTTATGTTATGCAGGTTTATTATTATGAATAGTGTGAGCTTTTGATTCGCAAGTTTTTTTTCATTTCTCTAAATTTGATTTGACTACTAATTCTAGTTGGTAATCTAATATAGTGCTTCTTTCATGTAAATTCGCTTAGTAAAGCAAATAACAAAAATGCAAAAGATGAAAAAGAAGTAAATAGACCGACTCGAATTTTTATTTTATTAGAACTAATTAGATTTTCATTTGCTAATTTTTTATATAGCAAACCAGTGCACTTCAAATCATAAAATAATTTAAGAAAGTTTTCTCAAATGAATTTATTATTTTTAGACTTTCTTCTTTCATGGCCTGATTTTGATTTTAGAGACTGTTTAGTAGCAGTGAAATTAGTTGAATCTGTTCAAATGAATAAAGTTCTGAGAGAAGTGGTTAAATTAGTTGAATCTATTGATTTATGGATAAATTTAATTTAAAATATATTGTATTAATGAAATAAAGAAAAGATTTATATGAAAAGTAATTTAAAATGATTACCTACAGTAACTTCAGTCAATTCAAACATAAAAAAAACTTAAATCAAGCTAAACATGAATAGATCAGATCAGTTTAAAACAAACCAAAAATGTTTAATCAATTTTTTCGTATTATTTTGTGATTTTTGTCCCATCTCTTAAAAAGAAAGAATATCATACTATTAAATTGAATTAACTTTAGAAGTTTTATTTATTAGCAGTTTAGCACCCGATGTGGTTATCATTTTCATTTGCTAATTTTTGAATTTTGAATGACATTATAATAAGGAAGGAATAAGGTTTATAACACTTTAATAATGAGAGTATATTGTTATATTTTTATTAAAAGTAAGACTATATTAAAGGCCGGGGTTTCGTTAAGATAGATGACGTATATTAGTAGGCCAAGTTTTTATATTTTCTATCTCCGTAATTCGTTTTTTTAAAGCAAATAATAAAAATGCAAAAGATGAAGCCACATGACATAAGTACAACAATGTTCTCTATCACTTGTAGGTAGACATGTTACATAATAATTGAGGGTAAAACCATATTTTTAATAGCCTACTACTTTCTTATATATTAATATATACTACCTCCGTCCCAATTTGATGGTCCTAGTTCATGTTCAAATTATTCTTAATTATTTACTTTTTATATCTCAGGTTATTGCGACTTTTTAAAACTTTTAATGTAGTTTCCGAATATGTAAATTTTATTTGCTACAAATAATTTGAGTGAGAACAAAAATTCATTTGTTTTATCTTCGGTCAAGTATCATAAACCGCAACAGGGCTATCAAATTGGGACGAAGGGAGTATATTTTTATTTTCTACATAATTATAGAGACCATTAAAAAATTATATTTGTATATATTCAATATTGATCTCAAATGAAAGATCACAAAAAATTAAGAATTTTGATATATATTTATAAAAATTGGAGCAAAAATGAAAAAGTTATAACAATTTAAATAAAATTGGGGTTTTTTATAGTTTGGGCCGCACCAAATACATGTCCTGCGCCAACTCTTGCTTTCCTTCCGTGTCCAAAAATACATTTGAGTGAAAAAAACCACATGTCATTATCATAGAAAAGGAGAATTGAGGAAAGGAAGACACATAAGCTTTATTAAGGATAGAATTGTCTTTCAATGAGCTACTACATATTTCTTTTCTTATATATAAATAGACTAGTAGTAAATAAAAAATGGATAAACACAAATAATGTCTAATTATTTTTCAATTATACATGTTAATTACGATTAGACAAATAATTCCCAATTTCTATTTTTCTCTCATTTTCATATTTAAAATAAGATACAATAGTTATCACAATCAGTTAGAACTAATTCAAAAGTAAATTGTGAAATTCAAAATTTCGAAATTTTAACTAACATTAGCATAATTTTAAGAAGTTAATAATCTAAATCTTAAAAATTGTTTATAGCAAATACTTTGTCAACTTTTGCTTTCAATAGTGCTAATAAATCAGGATACGAAAAAACTCAAACACCTTATCTTCTTATGCTATGAGCCTATGACTTTAATAAGATTTTTTAAAAATAAAATTTTACTTCACATCAATTCTTTTGTTTTCCATGGTAAAAAGTAAAAAAGGCACTTATGTTTATTTGTTCCTTATCTCATCTTCAAGTACTCCTCAAAATTATTGGAACCTCAATCATTTTGTGTTATCAAAAATGTAGTGTTGTGTGTCTGTCCCAAATACTATTGTCATCACCAAGAAGAAATGTACATTGTAATGGAGATTTGTAGTATTAAATCTCTTTTATCCTTCCCACTTCATTCAGTTGAATAATAATTTTTTTGATTAACCTAGGTTTTGTGACCTTAATCCCGAGGCTCGTGTTAACACTTCATGTTGAAGATATAGAACATGACATGTTACAAAGGCTTTCCTCAAAGAAAGTAATTTTTGAAAAGACATGTTTGTTGCTCAAGTAAACAGCTCAAATGGGTCTTCCGGGGATATTTTATATAAAAACAATGATTTGATGTGGAACGATTCACTCCCAAACCTGAATGGGTCTCAATTAGCGTTGGACCGATACTGGGCCGATCGGGCCAGGCCGCTACTGTGCAGGCCCGGTCCGACCAGCTATTGTGCGGGCCCGGCCCAGCCCGGGAGTCAGATACTAGGACCGGCCCGAGGAGTTGGGGTGGGGCGCTTCCGTGTTGTCCTTCCTTTGCAAGCGGCCCGGCCGAGCAGGGCCTGATTCAGGCCTTTTTTTTGTTTTTTCAATTTTGTTTTTGTTTTCCCTAGATGGGTTGGGTGTTTTGGGGGGGAGGGGGGGTTTGGGGGGTGAAGGAGGTTAATTAGAAAAGCAAAAAAAAAAAATAGGCCCGGCCCGAGACCGGGCCTTCCCCCATCAATAAAAAGCCCACCCAGGACTACCTACGATGGGGTAGGGGGGGGGGGGTCGGATGTACGCAGTCTTAGCCCTGTACTAAAGCACAGAGAGACTGTTTCCGGATGACCCATAGTGAAAATCCCGACCAAAATTGCATGTACTGACTGTTGCTTCATAACAAAGAAGCACAGACAGTTTAGTGAGCCATTTTGCTTTATTACATCATAATCTCAAGCCAAAAAATAATAAATCTTTGGCTCCATTGCAAATGATGGAAATCACATCACATCGATTACAAGAAATAGAAACGGACATTCCTCAGGACAGTAACAACGAGCGAGGATTTTGCTGATTCATTTTCAAAGGTGCACAGATGAAAATAAGCCTGTAAACAGCCCTTGCTTCAGCATATGGTCATCACTTTCCCCCTTCCAAGAAGAGGAATCAAACCATTCTTGAACTGCCTTTAATTTTATTGATTATAAAATCTCCAAAACCAGCACCTATATCCACTATTCTTGAGTCTGGCTTTATCTCCGCCTTATTAATTTCTTGAAATAAATCTCCCAAACCTAGAGGATCATCCTCACAAATCTGACCTATGATTCCATCCCATGTATCAATATGCAGAGTGTTTCCATGTTTCAACAACACCTCCACCGCCTCACATGCTTCTTCAATCTTTCCTAGGCTAACAAATCCCATTACCAAATATATGCACCACCGAAAAGTGCAGAAGTAATCCTTTTGAAACCATCTCCTTTACATAAACTTTAGCCTCATCGTACATTCCTTGATTGCATAACCCTAGAACCAAGATTCTATAAGATACCAAATTGGGTAGGCATCCATTTGCAGCCATTTGCTCGAGCACCTTGCAAGCATCAAGGGCACGGTCTTGTCTACAGAACCCGAAAATGACAGTGTTATAATGAACCATGTCGGGGTTGCAGCCTCTCACCTTCATTCTGCAGAGTATCTTGAAAGCCTCTCTGAGCTGTTTCTTTCGACACAAACTGTTCAACAAGGTGGTGTAAATAAAAGCATCGGGAATGAACCCTTTGTTGAGCATATCCTCCAGCAAAGCAACGGCTCTGTTCACTTGGCTCTTCCTGCATAACCCTTGGATCAGGATTCGGTATGACTCGACATCAGGCAAAACGTCTCTTGTGAGCATTTTACTGAACAGTGAGTAGGCAATGCTTAAATCGTCGTTGAAGCAGAAGGCTCTCATGAGAATGTTATAAGATGTCGTGTTGGGCAAGACTCCATACTGTTGAGCATATTTAAAGAGGTCAAATGCGGGACGAATAAAATGAGGGTGGGCAACGAGGATGTGGAGGATTTGGTTTAGGTGTTGGGGACGAGGTCTCAAGTTGAACTCCAAGATCGTGTAAAAGGTTTTGAGGGCGATTTCGGGAAGTCCGACAGCAGAGAAGATGTGTGAGAAGCGGCGAGAAGGGCCGAGTTTGATGATGAGGGAGTGGAATGAAGCATAAAAGTGGCGGAAGTCATCAGGGTGGCGTGATGCCAAAGCACAGATTTCTTTGGCAAGCAGCAGGGGGTCTGACTGTGATGCAATCAGTTTGTGGATTCGAGCCGCGGGCCCGACAGAGAGCTTCTCTTGACAATTAGGGGATGAGGAGAAGGTTGAAGAGGACAGGGCGGTGCGTGGTGCTGATCCCTGGTGACACATAAGAGACGAACTGGGTGCATCTCACCTCCACTTCCTTCCCTTCTCCCAATTCATTTATAACCAAAGATCGGGAACAACCTGTCATGCCAAAGTAAATTTGAATTGTTAAGCTGATTAATAAAATGCGTAGTAAATAGAGATAAGAAAAGGTGAAATAGGTTAAGCTCATTAATAAAATGCATAGAAAATTCTCAAAAGAGTGTACTTGTAAATTTATTTCCCAAACAAGAATATTTTTGCCTATCCTTTGAATCTTTGATATCTTTATATATAAAGAATAGTATGGTTGGAAACCAAATATTTTATTCTCCCTCCAAAAAAATGACATTATTGAAGTATTTAATGAACTCTTATAATTAATCAAAAATAATTAAACTTAACATAAAGAATAATCAATTTAAATAATAATACCAACATTAATTCCATATGTGAAATACTTCAAGATTATTAACTCTAAAGTAGTTTATAGATATTGATATTTTAATCTTTTCTAACATCATATTTTTGGATGGTCTATTGATAATAAGGGTATAAAAAAAGTGACTTTAATAACAACATATAAGAGATGAATAAGAAAATGGTTATGGTAAGTTGGTAACAATAAATAAGGAAGGCGCTTTTAGGAAATATAATCTATCTCTATACAAAAGAAGGTGGATTTTCTGGTGGGTTTCCCGCCCAAACTTCCGGGTCGGGTACCAAAAACGGGTAAAGATACATTTCTGTAGTATAGGTCTGGCCAGATACAAGCATACATTTTGAAAATTAGAGATCATTTAAATGACTATTTAAAAAACTAAAATGTAGATCATAGACTACCCCATACCAATTACAATCCAGATTCAAATTTAATACAAATTGTCTATAAGTCGACGTATGTATGACATTTTCGTACAATCGATCTCATTTTGATGAGATCAGAATATGGTTAAATCATTTATGGTATGCATATTTACTTTACTGACCATCAAATGTAGTTAAACTCAAATGTTTTATCAATGTCCATCAAATACGACATACACATCTGATATTTTTACAGATTTATGTACCAAACTGATACATTTGATATATTCATCATACAAATAATATACTCCCTCCGTTCCTAAATAAACTTCCAACTTTCCTTTTTCATCCGTTCCGATTAAAACTTCCACTTTCCCTTTTTAGTAACAAATTTGTGGTTCACAACATTTCTTACACATTTCTCTCTCCTCTGCACAACTCTCCACCACACAATACCCACTATCTTAAACTCTGTGTCAAACCTATTTGGAAGTTTTAATAGGAACGGAGGTAGTATATAATATATTTAGTAGCCTACGATAAGTTGTTCAAAGCTGTAAATGGCATAGATGACGACTATATCACAATTCGAATACTAACATGAATTTCAGGTTTCTGTATCAAAATGATAGATCTAAATAGATTGATAAACCCACCCCAAAAAAATCAGATTTACTCATCATCGGCATCATCATCACCCCAGTGCCGCAAAGGCTCCCACCTACAGTGGGGTAAAGGGGTCGGATGTACGCGGTCTTACCCTTGTACTAAAGCACAAAGAGACCCATGGTGAAAATCACGTCGAAAATTGTATTGATTGATTGCTGCATCGTAACAAAGAAGCGCAAATAGTTTAGTGAGTCATATTGCTTTATTCCATCATATTCCCAAGCCAAAAAATCAGATTTACTCAACTATGTAAATTTGTTTACAACAACAACAACATTACCCTAGTGCCGCAAAAGCTCCCACCAACGGTGGGGTAAGGGGGTCAGATGTACGCAGCCTTACTCCTATACTAAAGCACAGAGAGACTGTTTCTGGAAACTAGATATTAGAGACATTCAAATTATTGATAAGTGAAACTGAAAAAATTACACTCCTAGATAACATTTTGCCTTGGAGTAAAAGGTGAGAAGAAATTGAGCAAGCAACAAAGAAAATCTGATCGGCCTCCAATTTTTAAGCCAAAAAACACAACAAAAGCGAACATAATAGCGCTACTTTCATGATTATGTACACAACATAATCAAAAATTGATAGATATCGAGGACATGCGCACAAAATCAGTGGTAATAGAAACATGAAAAAATTCCACTTTTTGTCCCATGACTATTATACCACTTCCACATTTAGTCCCTTACTTTCAGATTGTCAACATTTAGTCCGTGACCATTATCCCCTCACCACCCCTCGTCCTTCTGTCCAAAATTCCGACAAATTTAGTCCACTTATGAGCCTCAGAATCAGTCTTTGCATTAAATTTTATATAAGGTTGGGTTTTTCATATCAGTCTTTGCATTAAATTTGGGTTTTCATACCTAAAATCCGCATTAATTTTGCCGGAAATTTGGTCGGAAGGACGAGGGGTGGTAAGGGGATAATGGTCACGGACTAAATGTGGACAATCTGAAAGTAAGGGACTAAATGTGGAAGTGGTATAATAGTCACGGGATCAAAAGTGGAATTTTTTCTAGAAACAAAGTACTGTGTAATTGATAATATTCCCTCAGCCATCGTATAAATTCCTTCCAACGGACAGATAAGGTGGCATCGCACAACAAATACCGCTGATTTCACAAGTTAACAATAGATATGGACAGATTAAAGCCCAAAAATTGACGATTCGATGGACAGAAAACAAGGTTTGAAAGAAATCAGATGAAAACCAACGAAGATCAACCCTCAACAGAACGACAGCATGAGAGATCATTGGATGAACCAATGGTCTTCTATATGTGTTGTACAGCAAGTGAAGTACAACACATCTACTGAGAAAATGTGAACCGTTAGTACTAAAATTTAATTAAGTTAACATTAATGAAGAGGTAGAGAACTAGGGAAGTGGAGATAATCGTCAAAAAAATGCATTTACTGAGCTTACACAGAACAAACTTATAAGTTCATTCCTGAACTAAATAAAACTCTACTAATTTAAAGTAGCAATTGTTTACTTTCTATTTTTAATAGTCGGTGAACACGATTCTCAAAAAAAAATAGTCGGTGAACTTTAACTTATTATATCATTCCATATTAGTACAATAAAATTGAATTAATGTAACTGGGGTAATTAATTCAAGAGCTGACAGAATAATAAGATTTAGTGATGAAGGCTAAAGCAAGAGGCCATTAAATATTAGTGTTATTGTTGATTTTACACTTTAGTTCAACGAAAATGATATCTAGGTTTCTACTTATCTACTACAAATTGTCTACAATCAAAGCCTAGAGGGAGAGATACTACAAATTGAATAACTAGCAGTTTATTTGTATCACATGTTTAGTACTTCTGAAACAAAATTTTCTTGGCAAAAATAATATCAAAATCCCATAAAACAATCAAACAAACAAACATTATGCCTTCTGCAATAATCATACGTGGAAACAGATTCGATTAAAGTGAGAAAAACGAGCCTTGACATAAAAAGTATGGTGGAAGTAAAGCACATACCTTCAAAATTAACGGGCATGAGTCGCGCGGCTGCGTTACAGTGTGAGTCCGGTGGCTGCGTGACAGCGCGAGTCCGGTGGCTGCGTGACAGCGCGAGCCCAGTGGCTGCGTCACAGTGTGGTCAGGGGTTTCTGTAACTACAAATATTTTGATAGATGGAAAATTTGGATCATGATTTTAAATAGTATAATATTATTGAAAATATAAATGTTATACTTTTATGAAAGTAGTTTTAACCAAGAACATTTTCATATCATTTTTTTATAATAAATAATTTCCAATAAAAATATATAGTTGGTCAAAGTTTTAAAGATGACTAAGTACTTTGGGACGGAGGAGATAAATAAGAACATCTACTTTGAAATGAGTATATGTGATATTTCTCTTTATCTTTATATACCTAAAAGCACTACATATGAGTGAGAAAGCTTTTCTTGCCCATTGTATCACCTAATTATTAGAACGGCTGGGCTAATAGGTAATTTTGCCTTCTGCCCAAAAACACACTCCCTATTCCAGAGGAGAGCTGGATCTCTTGTGAAACAGAAAAATAAAATCAACGGGGTAAACCGTTGCCCAGATAATCAACGATAAAAATACCGTTGCCCAGAGCCAAAAGGCTAAAATCCAACTTTATTCCAAGATGAGCCAGAATGAATCCTAACAAGGGGTTTAAATACCCATCTACTAATTCCCAAACTAGCAAACAAAATCCTAGAAATCCTAATCAACTCCAACTAGGAAATAGAATAAAAAAAAGATCCTAATCAACTTCAAATAGGAAACAAATAATAGAAATCCTAATTAACTCCTAATAGGAAACAAATATTAGAAATCCTAATTAACTCCAAATAGGAAACAAATCAGGAAAATTAAAAAGAATAAATATTAATTAAGCAGCCCGCAACCAGCCCACGAAGGTGGCCTCAAGCCCGTTCCCGCCTTCAGTAAACCCACGAGGGCTTCTGCCCCTCTTCTTCCAAGCCCAGATTCTGCTTCATATCAATTTTATCCCGCTTCGAAAAAACCATGACCTCAAGGTTGAAATCCGGAAACCGGTTGATATTGTCTCCGGGGACTGCCCAGTATCTTTAGGAAAGCTGCCACTAAATCTTTTCAGCCCGTTCATGAAATACCCCAAATAATGATCGTCAAATAGCCTTGGGACCTGACTTGTTAGTTGAACAAAAATTGAGATGTACTCCGCCACAGTCCTTGTCTGCTTGACTTCATACAGTCGTTCAAAGCAATTGCCCTTAAACTGTGAGTCATAACGAGCCATCAACGCCTGTGTAAGCTCATCCCATGTCATGCCCGGCTTTCGTGCCCGTATCCAGGTCAACCGGTATAGGGCTAACCCTTCCATCACAACTACACTGGCTGCCACCTTTCCCGGCGGAGTACAGTTCAGTTCGAACGGATGCTCAGCCCTAGCAACCCTGCCGATCGGGTCTTCTCCGTCAAACGAGGGCAGCATCGTGAGAGAAGTGTTGCACTGACAAGTTCCGAACGTGGATGTTGATGTTGCATCGAGTGAAGCCACCGCCGATGAATTCTCCTCCGTCGCTGGCGGCACGAGAGCCTTCGTGAGTGCAGCCAAGGAGGATGTGATCTCTGCCAGTAGGATTCCTTGTGCGTCCAGCTTCGCACCCCTCGCGTCTAGTTTTTGGTTCATCAAAACCAGTTCGGCCTCCACCTCTAACAAACGTTCACTAGTTGATCTCGTCATTCCAGCGGGAACGGGATCCGGCAGGTCAGACCAATTGTTGTGAAACAAAAAAATATAATCAACGGGGTAAATCGTTGCCCAGATAATCAACGATAAAAATACTGTTGCCCAGAGCCAAAAGGCTAAAATCCAACTTTATTCCAAGATGAGCCAGAATGAATCCTAACAAGGGGTTTAAATATTCATCTACTAATTCCCAAACTAGGAAACAAAATCCTAGAAATCCTAATCAACTCCAACTAGGAAATAGAATAAAAAAAACATCCTAATCAACTTCAAATAGGAAACAAATAATAGAAATCCTAATTAACTCCTAATAGGAAACAAATATTAGAAATCCTAATTAACTCCAAATAGGAAACAAATCAGGAAAATTAAAAAGAATAAATATTAATTAAGCAGCCCGCAACCAGCCCATGAAGGTGGGCTGAAGCCCGTTCCCACCTTCAGTAAGTTAAGTTGCAAGCTTCTGCCCCTCTTCTTCTAAGCCCAGATTCTGCTTCATATCATGATCCTTCTGTAGCCGGTACCAACCCAAAAACACAAGCTTTAGCGACACCAGCCCACGGCCCAACCGCGGATTGATGAAGATATTGTTAAGTGAAAAAACCCCGCCATACCCATTAAAGTTAATAGAGAAGGACCTCATTACCAATTTTCTCATGTTCCTTTAAGCCCTTCGACAACAGTAGATCACTAGTCCTTTTTTGGTTTGGTGATATTGTTGCTTCAATTTTATTTGGTGATATTCCTAATATGTATTTTTTAATATATCTTTTATACTTTTTGGAAGGTTGCAACTTCCTTACTCTTGGTCCGTTGGGATCAGTGTTCTCCTCTCGAAGTGGAGGCCACGGATTTTGATCTCATTACGATCAAGGATGTTGAGACTATCATTGAACATATACTATAATAGGTTAGAAGAGTTTCCCAAAAATGAAAAAAATGGTTTCTTATTATATATTGTAATCGCTCTTCTCAAATGAAATCCCAAACCAATCAAGATGGCTTCAAATTACCCAAACCAAAGGCTACTAAATGTAAAAGGAGTATCTTATCCACAGAAAAGTCTATTATGAAACACTAAATATGGGCAATTCAGAAATTGAAAACCTAGGTTTCTTGTAAATGATGCCATCAACTAACACTAACAAGTATGCAAAACCCTTCTACTAAAACCCAGCAACCTTGCCTAAGCCTTAAAAATGAAATATTTCTTAGATTTCAAATGTTTTCATTACTCAATCAGAATTCTCACTTAAATCAATTGAATGTGTAAAACTGTAGATCAATTGTTTACACAAAACAAAACAAAACAAAACAAAAATAAACAAAAACAAAGTCTTGTTATGCGTTACCAGAAAACCCGGGTTGTATTCAGTATACAAGAAACCTCAATACTTGTAAATAAAAATGATGTCTTCTTATTCACATGAGGACTTTCGGAGAATAAGAGAAGTAATTAGGGATGTTAGTATAGTAAACCTGGACTTGTTATCTCTTTCAACTTTTCTGATTTGCTCGTCCTGCTCAATGCCCTGAATGGCAGTAAATTCCTCAGGGGCGTCGAGGTCGCTATCCTCTTCCCTTTCCGACATCGCGATTTTCTTCTTCTGCTCCTCACACTTACAGGGTTTAGTGTTATCGTTACCTTCAGATATGTGATGGGCTGGGCAGGACCGGTCCAATTATAGTAATACTGTATTAGTATAGTACCCACGATTTAATTAAATAATGCATACCCAGGGGAAAAATCATTTGGTGCATATATTTTTACACATGATTTAATTAAATATTAAAATAAAATTACTTTGTAGAATTCATCATTTTTGAAAAATAAGAGTACAATAAGCTAATACCATAAAGTATAAGCTCATTAAATACATATTCAATGAAGAGTATATTAAGAAAAATCAATTGACACCATTCATTAGAATTTACTCGGGTACTATTTATAAATTTTCAGGATTAAATTAAATTTAAAATTAAATACTATTCTGAAAAAGTGAGAAAAATAGGTGAGTGACATGAAGTTTAAGTGAGTAGAATAATTATTACAATTAATGAATAGTATTAGTTGAAAAAGAAATTGCTACTCATTAGTTAAATTAGAACTAAGATATGAGAGAGAGAAAATTATTCTGCTAAATACTCAACCAGTTTCTCTTACGCCTAAAAGAACTATATATCACAGAACATTGTCCCACTCGATCAATTGTTAGTCAGATTAGCTTATACCTAAAAACACTACATATGAGAGAGAAAATTATCCCGCTCCATTCCCTCACTCAACTGTTAGCAACTTATCTTCTAATATCTAAAAGGAGTACATATGAAAGAGAAAACTCTTCCGCTCAATTATTAGCATTATTATCTTCTTGTACCTGAAACTCTTACATATAAGAGAGAAAGTTCTCACGCTCAATTATTAACTGACTTACCTTATACCTAAAAGTACTACCTGTAACACCCCGCCCCGTAGGGCTCAAGGTACTTACTCCAAACCTCTAGTACTATCCTCACAAACTACCACAAAATTAATCTCAAGTGTAACACTACATATGATAGGGAGAAATTGTTCTGCCAAATTGTGGTCAGCTTATCTTATACTTAAATGAACTATATATGATAGAGAAAGTTCTTACGCTCAATTGTTAGCTGGCTTATCTTACCTTGTACAAAAACACTACATATGAGAGAGAAAATTCACTTGCTCAAATGTTAGCAAGCTTATATTCTTAGCTTCTTATACCTAAAAGCAATACAAATGAGAGAAAATTATTCCGCTCAATTGTTAGCCGACTTATCTTATACTTAAAAGAACTAAATATTAGAGAGAAAGTTATATCACTCAACTGTTAGTAAGATTATATTCTAATACTCCCTCCGTCCCGAAAAGGTTGGCCAAATTTCCTTTTTTGGATGTCCCAAAAAGATTTGTCATTTCCATTTAAAGTAAGTAATGTGTGGCTAAAATTAATTCTCTCTCCTCTGCACAAATTTCAACCACGCATTTTTTACTTTATTAATCCACGTGAAAGTCTACTTTGGCCAACCTTTTCGGGACGGAGGGAGTACTTAAAAGTACTTCTGGGGATATTTTATATAAAAACAATGATTTGATGTTGAACGATTCACTCCCAAATCTGAATGGGTCTCAATTAGCGTTGGACCGATACTGGACCGACCGGGCCGGCCCGCTACTGTGCGGGCCCGGTCCGACCAGCTATTGTGCGGCCCGGCCCAGCCCGGGAGTCGGATACTGGTTCCGGGCCTAGGATCGGCCCGGGGAGTTGGGGCGGGGCGGTTCCGTGTTGTCCTTCCTTTGCAACCAACCAGGCCGAGCAGGGCCCGGTTCAGGCCTTTTTTGTTTTTTCAATTTTGTTTTTGTTTTCCCTAGATGGGTTG